ATTGGACGAACTTGAACTATTGTTTGATCCTAAATTCAATGAAAATCCATATATTATATCGAATTCATTAGTCGTAGCAATCTTTGTTAAGTTGAATTGGTTATTACCTGTATTGTTTTTAAGAATAAAAACAAGTGGAATAATAGCAGCCACAATAACAAGAAATAGCACACCAGTAATCATCAAAGCTAAACCCAGTTTCGTGAAACCATTACTCGATGTACAACAACATTCTGTAGCATATCCTATCCTTTTCTTAGATCTTTTATTCTCTTCTTCTTCTTCCTCCTCCCTCTCCTCATCGCACGTGTCGAATCGAACGGGTTTTCGTTGAAGCCGATACACATTAATGCTAGATGTTGGAACAACACGCACCTGAAAGAAAGGAAAGCTTTAAAAACTTTGGTCTTTCAATATGAAAATGTGAATGCCTTCATCGTTGTTACTAATGTGCTGGGTCGAATATCTAATAAATGCACGTTATGCTTTCATTTTACTTATAGTGCGATTCTGTTTAGGTTTGCTTTTTATCTTGCTTTGCAATAAAAACACTATTAAATGAAATCGTATAAAAAAAGCATAAAAATTACGAGTTCTTTTCTATGGATACATAACATGAATTCATTCTTCTTTTAGTTAAATTGAGTATTACTTTAAATGAAATGTTGTTTTTCTCTTTTTTTAAAATTTATTCACTATTGGACCATCATAGAAGGAAAGAATCATCAAAATAACAAGAATCAGGCGTTTGGATTTCATTGATTATTGTTGTGCCAAACTCTTTCTCACTGAAAATCGCTATTAACCAATTTTTTGTTACGTGTTATCAGTTGAAGATGCGCTACAATTCCGATTATGATGAGATTTGTACATATTATTGTCTGATGTTAAGTCGTTTGTATATCAAATGTATATCAAAAGAAAATTCAGAAATATCACAGATGACATTGTCGCTTAGCAAAATATTTACTGGAAGAAAACTACAACACCAATAAATGATTTTGAAACATATTACCAATAAATAGCACGCGATGCAAATGATCAATATATTGAAAGGAGTTCATCTCTTCATTTGAGAATATAGTTTTATAAAGATCTTTTTAAAGATTTATTTTATTCTATGCTCAGAATCGCATCTTCTATAAAAGTTACAGTTTTGCTTTTAATGAATATGTAATAATTGCTTTTTCTTTGAAAGATAATGAATTCAATAGAATAGCTAGCTGGTGGTTAAACATATTGGTATATAGAGAAAGGTTCCTTTTGATGAGTAAATGTGCAAGTAGTGGAAGAATATGCGTAGTCCATCGTTAAGCTTTAATATTATTTTCTAGCATAATATGTTTCATAAGTATATGATGCGTATCCGAAACTCGACATTATATTAAATGTAATAAATGAGATTAAATTATCACCGTCCGCTAAAGATTATAGTGGCTATTGTGTTCATCTCTTGTTAGTCATCACTAGTAAGATCGACTTTGGCATGCAAATACTATTCTTACACTATGATATAATCGGTGTTCCATAAAGAATGGCCAGCTTTTGTTTACTGTCTTTGAGGCACTTAATAATCGTCTTAAGATCGGATTTTGAGCTTGTTGGATAGAGAATTCGTTTCTCTGTAAAACTATTCACTTCATTTTTCAAAGAAAATTTTCTTGTCAGTGTAAGATTTAAAAGGTCAACACCTACTAAATTATCCAACTGCGGGGTGAAATTTTCTTCACACATTAAATGATTTGTGTAAGTCTCTGCTAATCTAGGCCAATGTTAAAAGTTAAATATTTTACATCAAAAGATGGAGAATTCTGTGTTCTATGCTTTCTCGGCCTTTCTAAGGTTCTTGGTACTGTTGCTCAGTAGAAAAGGCTTCGAACTAACCCTTGATAGTATTTTTAGGAGCAGTACAAAAAATAAGGTTTTCCAAATCCAAACTTCACCTGTGAAACGTCGATTCTCACACCGTTGACTGCAGAATTTAATTCTGAAAAAATGGTGTACGTGTTAGTTTGAGCAGCTGAAACATTTTAGGCTAGCTAGAATCAAAATAGAATAATCACATGGGTGACCAGCAAAGGGATTTTTCCGTGTTGTCACATTTTCTATTTCAAAAATTGTTTACCCAAATATTTATTCTAAAATCCTGAGAATGACATCATAAGATGCAGAATTTTATGTAGAATATTGTAGCATATTGTAGCATATTTGATTTTGCAGCAGCCGCTATTTTAAAAATTCCATCGTTTTTTTCGTTTCTTTGATCCCGCAGTTGGATGATTTAGTAGGTGTTGATCTTTTAAATTTTACACTGACAAGAAAAGCTTATTTGAAAAACGAAGTGGATTGTTTTTGTAGAGAAACGAATTCTTTGTCCAACAAGCTTAGAATCAGATCTTAAGACGATTATCAAGTGCCTCAAAGACAGAAAACAAAAGGTTGCTATTCTTTATGGAACACCCGTTACTTTAGTTTAAAACTTTCAAAAGTATTCAATTTTACTGATACGAAAATATAAAGGTGATCGATGTGAGTAGAATTCCTTTTATTGCATTATTTCAGAGTAGAGAAAAATGAAGAGATACAGAGAGATATAGAATAATATGTCTAGCTAAAATTAGTCGTAAACTGATATTTCTTTTCTAGCACTTCACACGTATCAAATATTGTAGTTTGCTTATAGCCAAAAGGAAAAAAATACCTTGATAATGAGTGTGTTCAAACATAAACTAAAATAAGAAACATCTAGTAGATTCATTTATTTATAATTTATGAATTTTTTTCGTTCGAAAGTAAAATATTCCCAAATTTTATTATTCATTATTAATATAGGATATTTCAAGGGGAGCAACTTCAGATATTACAAATGTTTTATTTTTCTGTTTAATAAAATTTAACAAAATATATTGTAATTCAATGGCGCTAGTATACATGATTTCGGGATGCATTTGTAATAATTGGCTATTGTTTATCGCTGGATTCACTAATCTTTTAGTTTCTTTATTTTATTTTCTTTTCGTGTTTATGTATTGCGATATGGGCCATGACATTCTACGTGTATTGGTTCATAGCACGCCTATAAAATAAATGTAAAATGTATTGAACACCAGCTTCTTCTGTAATAAGTATTGTTTTATAAATTAGTCTGATAGAAAAACCTTGCATTTTTTCGTAACACTTATTTTCTTGTTAGTGTACGAGTACATAACTGAAAATATGCAATATTATAGGTTTCTGTGGATTTAACATTGCAATTCATTGATTAGACGATGTTGTGTAATCTTTAAAATGTTTTCTTCAGACGCATTGAATCGCATCGAAAATTTCTGAATACTTGTTTTTTTAAATGCGAACTAATCAAAGTTAAATTATTATGAATTATTGAAACGTGGAATTATTGCCAATAATCAACATGTAGTTTGTATTGGGATATGTGTTAATGTGATTATTAAAATGCTTTGTTACATGCGAAGTTCAGTGAACTTAATTTTCATCGGATCTGTATTTTATATTGTTGACTAAAGTTTACTTGTAGTTCAGGGTATGAACTAGTAAACATGTTTGCTCTCTTTGTATCAGTCTAAAGTCCACTATTTTTTATTCTTGTTACTATCTTTTCTGAATCATTTTGTTTGTTATCCTTATCGTGTGAAAGGACAACATTTTATATATATATATATATATATAGATGAAGGCATACTCTTTTTTTTAGTCTTAAGTTTTTTATTCGAATCGATTATCATTACTATGCTGAGCCCAGGCACTGAGTATCTTTTGAATAACGATGACAGACACGCTTCATCAAAATCAAAGACTAAAACGGTTTGCTAAATTTTGATATCGTTCATTCTTTGTCAATACTATTTCTATTTAGTATTGTTGGTTCATTTTCGTCTTTTTATTGGGTGCTGTGATAATATTAATACCTGCTTTGGTTCTTATTCTACGTAAAGCAAAATGTTCTGGTCCTGTACCACCGCCCGCACCTCCTGCTTGGAACGGTAGTGATTATCTATCCAATAGTGATTATTATAAGCAATTGACAACAGTAGATGACTTTAGTCAAATACATAACCTTCGCTTGGATCGCCTTTCGTCTCCTCGATTTCATCCAATAAATGGAAAGACAATTATTTATCTTAGAAAACAATATCATATGCCTGATTTAAATGGATCTTCAACAACTCTTCATTGGATTGATTTAGAAACCAAGAAAAATGTTCAATTGACAAGACCTATTTGGGGTATTAATGATCAACAAGTAAGATGTTTTGAAGAAAAAACTAATTTTCATCATTTGTAATTGAATTATATTTTCTTCTTTTATTTTAGTTCTACTGGATTGATAGTAAAACAATTCTTTTCCTATCGAATCGAGCAGAATCTAGGCTTAATCAATTATTTCAACTAAATTTACCTGATGATGTATCAGCTATAGGCAATTTTCTTGATCCGATTCAAATTACTAATTATCCATTAGATATTGATAATTTAGTAGTAAATCGGCAAGCAACACGTTTAGCATTCAGTTGTCAAGTTTATTCTAATTTAACTATTCAGGCAACTGCTGATCGACAAGCTACTGAAAAAGCTAGTGGCAGTTTAGTATATAAATTTGACAAATTATTTATTCGTCATTGGGATGAATTTATGTTGGGCCCACGTCATCATCCATTTATTGTTTCCATTGAACGAGATGCCAAAAAAAGATTTCATTTTACATCCACACCTACCGATGTTCTCTTTGGCATTGATAGTGATTCACCAACAAGGCCATTTGGAGATGCTAAAAGTCAATGGTCGTTTAGTGCAAGTGGAAATAAATTTGCTTTTACAAGACAACATGACGAAACAAGTGCAGTTGCTTGGTCAACTAATTTAGATATATTTACTGTTGATTTGAGCACAAATAATTCACAACCTATATGCATTACATGTGAAAATTTAGCAGCCGATACTGATCCATCATATTCTCCAATCGACGATGACATTTTAGTTTATCGTGCACAATCAGTTCCTGGCTATGAATCTGATCGATTCGAAGTCAAACTTTACAATAGTATAGTTTACTTGTTTTTCTTATTGAATTGATTTAGACTTTTTTTCTTTTTGAACATTTATTTCTAGGCTCTAATGAGACAATTACTCTACTTAATACTTGGGATCGTAGTATTCAAGTAGCTACATGGTCCAATGATGGTCAAACACTGTTTTTTGAAATAGGGGAAGAAGCACGTAACGTCATTTATAAATTCTCAAATATATTATCATCAACATCGATTCCTATTCGTCTTATGAGCAATGGTTCATCACATGATATTAATATTCATCCAACAAACGATGAAACATTTGTTTTTACCTATGAAAGTATTACTCAACCAGCTAATGTTTATGTATATGCATCACCAATATCAATACAACCTGTTACTGATCATAATAATAATCTTTTGGCTAAAGTAAAAATGAGTACAGTTTCGGAGACATTTAATTTCAAAGGCTCAAATAATGAAACAGTATGGGGATGGCATGTGCCACCAGTAAATGGTACAGCTGAAAAAGCTCCACTCGCTTTTCTTATTCATGGCGGTCCTCAAAGTAGTTGGTATGATGCATGGAGTTATCGTTGGAATTTTCAAGCATTCTCATCACAAGGTTATGCTGTTATTGCTATTAATTTTCATGGCTCAGACTCCTATGGACAAAACTTTACCGATAGTATCACAGGTCACTATGGCACATTACCCTACGAAGATCTACAATTAGGACTTACAGCAGCCTTAAATAATTATACATATATTGATGGAAATCGTACTGCAGCATTAGGTGCTAGTTATGGTGGATTTATGATAAATTGGATTGCTGGACATCAAGATATGAGTCAACGTTTCAAAACTCTTATTTGTCATGATGGTTTATTTGATATGAGAGGTATGGCTTATTCAACTGAAGAATTATGGTTTAGTGAACACGATGCTGGTGGTTTTACTCCCTATGACAATCCTAATGCATTTGAAGAATTTAATCCGGTCAATCATGTAATTAACTGGACCCAACCAATGTTAATCATTCATGGCGGTCACGACTATCGTGTACCTGATACACAGGGCATTGGTGCATTTACAGCTTTACAACGACGTGGTATTCCTAGTCGAATGCTGTATTTACCAAATGAAAATCATTGGACACTCAATCCATTCAATTCCCTTGTCTGGTATCAAGAAGTACTTCATTGGATGCATCATTGGACACAATAAACACTTGTTTTTTAATTCCTTTTCTTATGTTGTCTATTATTCAGAACGCTGATTAAAAATATTTATTGTTTGATGCAATTTTTATGTTTTCTTTTTTTGCTAAACCAATTCAGAAAGAAATGATTGATATTCCTGACAAATGATACTATAGCAAGGAGCATTTAATATGTTTCTTAGAAACAAAATCAGTAAGCAATACGTAAACTATCAATGTTACCTTTCAGCCAGATTTTCAAAAATCAATATTTATTGAAATTTTCTCAACTAAAAGACCGAAAACTAAAAAGAAACCCTATTAATCATCGATCGATAATTGTAGAAGATGAGCTTCGTATTCTGTTTTATTTCTAAGGATACGATGCACTGTGAAATAAGTACTTGGTAGCATGAGTACTTCTTCTTCGTCTGGATATATCGATATCGATGTAATATCGAGTGTTGATTTTGAATCAAAAAATGTGTAAACAATAATAATAGGGCCTTCATCTGGATTGCGTGTTCTCTTATGTGCAAAATTTGAGGGAACTCCTCTTGATTTTGATGTCGATTGAAAAGCTTTATTTGCTGATGCAACACCAATTTCATATTTCTGAAGATCTTCCTGAGCTATTAATATACCTCGCTAGGTTTGTTCTGAAATACGCAAAATATCTAGTTTAGGATTATTCATGATCGCACTCGTATAATAACCACTTCATTTAGAATATCATATTTTGTATACTTTTTTTTACTATCTTCTGCCATATATAGATTCAATTTATGGAATAATGGTCCTTCGGTTGTATAGATTTTTAATAAAAATATTGGATCATTTTTTTTTATTGCTTCAATCAAATAAAATCGAATCAATTTACTTTCTTTCGATTCATCATTGTCGAGTATACCGGCACTTGCTATTTTGTGTTACTGTTTTCTTTATGTCACGATCTTTAATACATCCCCACGAAACAGCACGTATCAGTGTTTTAGCATGGTCTTAACCTAATAGCCATTCGATTTGCTTCATTGGAGCCCCACCGTATCGTTCTTTTGCTGCTTATTCTAAACGAGTAAATAGTTCAATAATTTCTTTGCTTGTTGCTAGTCCTATTGGAAATCTACCATTGCTATCTTTTATGCGACTAGATGAGCCATATGCAAGCAAGAAACGCGTGACCTTTTGATGACCATTAGAACAAGAAACATGAAGACATGTACTCCCGTTGGGTGTCAGTGTATTTTAAACTTTTGGAGAAATATTCGGAAGTAAAATTTCAACAGCAATTAAATCGCCATCACGACAGTGTTCATAGAAAATACTTTCATTAGTTGAAATCATGTGTTCGGATTCCCCCATTTGGAAATTGATTTTTATTCTGTGTCTAACTGTACAGAGTAGTATTTATTGACAGAGTCTCGACTACAAAAATAAATGAAACGTTTTCGTGCACACCTTCAATTTCAATCTATTTTCATGCACTGTTATTGCGTTTTGCAGTTTCTTGCTCGAATAAAAAATAGTATAAATTGAATTATTCTGCTGAAAATTATGAAACTTCTGCTAGAAATTCAATGAAATAATAATTATCATGATTTTATTTATATGTGGTTAGGTTGTCTCATGAATTTACTAATAAGTGTACATAAAAATAGTCATGGTTCGCCAGATATAAGTACAAAATCGGTCTTTTTTGTTTTCTTTTGAATTTTTCAACATGACATGCAACTTATATCTAGAGGAGAATGTTTTTTTTACCCTTCGTTTGTACAAAATAACTGCATACGAATACTTCGTTCTCATTAACAAAATATATCTAAGAGCGCAAAATTTATTTAAAAGCAATACTGCTAATACTTTACCTTTATCAGAACAGAAATTGATATTTAGCAAAAATAAATAAATAATAAAATTTACGAACAACATTTCTTTGAACACACAAACAGGAAAGTAAACGATCTTAAATAAACTCTGATATTTTTATGATACATTAAACAATAGATTATGTTCGGATACTCGTAGAAACAGCACATGGAGCACTTAGACTTGTAAAAACAGTACCTATTTTAAAAGTACTAGAACAAAGGTTTTGCATATTTTACTTCAAGTTAATTTGATTGCTACTAAAAGAAGCTGTTGATTGCGAAATTTTTTCATTATAGATGTCATTCATCTACAAACGAGAATAGATCTTTATCATGATAGGTTTATGTAATGATGAGATGATTCATTTGAAGAAAATCATTGACACAGAAAAAAACGAGTCATGTGTCTTTGTAGGCTTATCGAGCGTCACAAACCGTATAAAAGAAGATTTGAGATTTTCTCCATTGAAAACCTTATCTAAGCTATACAATGGGTTTACTCCTCGATTGTTTTCGCGGCTCAAATAGTCAGCAAAAGTTTCAATCGAACAATTTTGATACACCTGATATGGTATTTTCAGTTTATTATTATGGTTTCATTAGAATTTCTTATTGTGCCCTTTTTTCTTTCTCTATAATATATTCTACTTAATCAATTCGATGAATTCTTAAATAGAAAATGGATCAATCCCAATCGATAATTATTTTTCTATTCAACTAAAATAATTAAGTCGATTATTTACGATAATAATATGATGAACATTAAATCTAGTAAAAATAATTTTTTTTGTCGAACTCGACTGGAATCATCTTTTGGTAAATTACTGTTTTGAGTGAGTCAATGAATAAGGAAAACTTTTATTTTTCTTATTCAATTCTGCTGAGTGAAAAGACCAGCGAAGTAACAAAAAAATTCAATTGGCTTATATATCCGTTATTTTCTAGGAGACTCGCCGACAAGCAGCAGCTGAAGCAGCTAATCGCCGTTTACAACAGAGTGAAAGACGTGGTGTTGATGAAGATGAATTACGTCGCATGAAACAACGTCAAAATGAACGTGAGCGTATTGAAAAACAACTATCAAAATTACCTAAACAAGCTGATGATAGTGGTGGTCTGAGAGTAAATATTTATGAATATTTGTTTTTCTATAAATTTCATTTTATCTTTTTGGTTTTAGTGGCAAACGAATTGACTGATAGAGAACTTTTTATGGAATCTTCTAATATAACATGATAATATTTAATTTCTTTTTTCTTGAAATAGTTTTTCTTCTTTTCAGATAATAGTATGATGAGATTGAGAGAATGATTTACACATCAATAATGGGTAATACAGCGAATCGTTTATCGTTGTGCGTTAGCCAATCATCTAGAAAAACTCGTCGAGAACGGCCTGTAATTCTTCTAAAAACAATTTCATTGAATAAATATTGCTTCTATTTTAGTATGTATCACGTCCGTATTGGCAATATCAATATGAAAATCATTTGAATATTTCAACACATATGTCATCAGATTCTCAGATTCGTGAAATAAGTCCGACACGTTTATCACCAATAGTTAGGATAATTATTATTAACTTAAGAAATGAACTATTTTTTTTCATTTATTTCTTAGATTCTTCACGACAATTCTCAATCTCGATCAATGCATATTATTAAAATGACTTAATAGAGTTCAGTATTTTTTTTCAATATTTATTTTCGGTGATTTTCTGCTGTTTTTCTTTGTTTTTCCCGGTGTGATTTACCATATATTTTTCTTGAAACAAATTTTCTTATAATGGCATATTTTTGTTTGTATTTAAATATTTTATTTTAGATGAATTTTGATATATTAAATGTTTATCGAGATTGCCCATTTTGTTTAAAACTACTTTTTGAGCCCACATCAACATTATGTGGTCATACATTTTGTCTTTTATGTATGGAACGTTTTATATTAACATCAGAACGTGTTTTACAATGTCCAATATGTCGCGATGATTTAAATTATCTTCGTTCTTCATCTAGTCATTTAAAAACTAATGCAATACTTCATAATTTATTTCGACAACAGTACGAGAAAGAATATGAAATACGGCGAATAGAAACAGAAAATGAACGAAAACAAATTACTAAAAAACGTTTCATCATTGGAAATACACATCAACTATTATCATGTGATTATGATTATACAAGGCATGAATGGACACTTTTTGTCAAATTAAATAATGATGATCAAGATGACATTAGTCAATACATTAAACAAGTTACAATAAATTTACATCCAACATTTACACCATCACAGATAATTCTTGATAAATCTCCATTTTGTTTAACAAGAATTGGATGGTAAGCAGTGCAATAGCTATGATAGAAATTTTAGAATTTATCTTTATTTACTAGGGGAGTATTTACAATTTATTTTACGATAGAATTTCATCCTCAATGGAAGAAATCTGATTTTCGAACAAGTTGGTTCTTGTCGTTTGCAAATACAGGAAATCAAAAAACAATTGAAATAGAATTTCAAAAACCAACAGACGATATAAATAATGATGAAATGTCGTGATATAGAATTATTTTTTTCTTATGTATTTATCAATAATTGAGTAAATTCTTGTTATTATTGTTTCTTAAAAATATTTTTTATTCGCAATTGAAGCTAAATATCTATGAAAGAATTCATGATAACTAGAATATGCATTTAATATTGCATGTCTCTAAATACGTCAACATATAGTCTATGATAAGTAATATAATACAGTATCATTTAAATAAGAATTGGTGTTCATCAGAGATTCTGCCAAAAGAATCCAGTCTATAAAAAATATATCTACATATGCAGTGTGTAGTTTGAGTAAGATTACATAAGCATATGTCATGTTATCATCAGATGTACAATATAATATCTAGGTAGAGTTAGGCAAATAGAAATCAAGTGTTGATTTCGAAACGAAACGCTGAAATCTACTTCTAATGAACTGCTTTTAGCACAAAAGTTTTGAATGATTAAACTCTCCTTTTATATAATATATGCATAGGTTTGAAAGATATTGATTCAATGAATGTTTTGCTTCTCCAATTGAAAACGTAACGAAAACAAAAATTAAGTTAATAATCATAGAGAACACTGATAAATCAATGAGTTAGGTCAGGACAAATGACGTTCTTAGTATTTTGTCAATATATCTTTCAAACTTAGAAAAAAGGATAAAAAACATTGACGCTTACCAGACTGTGTACATCGATCTTCGTTCAGAATTAATGATGATAAAATATCGGTTTGTACATAATTACAGTCGAATACACTACAAATTACAGGCTCTTGATCATTTCTATAAATAATTTCTTGAAATATTTCGGCTTATCATCAAAGGCCTTTTTATTGCATACAAAACATTTCTAAATTTTTTCTCTACTTGCTAGAAGACAATTATATATTTTTATATTTGTTTACAGGTCTAAGACATAAATAAAAACAAGAAGAACAAATAGAGCCATACAAGTAACAATAGTGAAAATGATAACAAGTAAGATATGACAAAGTAAAAGATAACAGTCATAGAAAGCAAAATATCATTAAAAATATGAGAAAAAGAGTAAAACCTATCTAATCACTGGTCAATGAATGCAAGTTCTTAATTTTGAACATATCTAGAAAATCAAAAGTTATTATGTTGATAGATTTATTTTGATACTTGTACATTTCAATCTTCATATCTATGCGATATGCAATCATAGCGACAACAGGATCGGAATCGAACTATAAATATGTCTATCTTTTTTGAAATATACATTGCAAATTCATATCTATAACACATCAAATAGTTTAGAAGTTTAATACAAAGATAAATCATATTCAATGTCTGATATGTATTTGATAATCAAAAATTCAGATACCTTCCTAAGTGAAAAATATTAGGCTGACTCTGATAAGAAAAAACTCGCAGAACAGTAGAGCTCTTATGTTGGAATCCAAAAGCCGAATTGTTCTTGCTTCGTCTAGCACTAGAAATAATTTTAGAAAAGTGGCTATTGAACATGATCGTTGTATACCTACTGTTTGATTGAATTCTTCGACTAAAAACAATATTTTCTCCGCGGATTCTCGTCGAATATATAGGGCTTCGGATATAGAAATGGCTAACTCTGAACTGTTGACATATAAATAGTTCTTTTAGAGTATAATTTTGGTTTTCATATTGATGTTCAACTTTGAATCATGACATTTAAACTATTTTAATACACTAACACTCAATCTTTTACGTTTGATAAACTCTTTCAGCATTGCGATGGAAAACAAAAATAAGTCTTTCAATATAAAATAGGCATTTATTTCTTAGTTCCACAGCATGAAAGGCTCCAATCTGTCAGCATAAATAGAGCGCTGAATAATCTTAAATATTTTTCTCTCATCACGGGTGATTCTAATTGCATTGGTTTGGCTACTGCTCAAAGATTTGTAGACTTTACAACTTGATTCAGAAAGAAAAAAAAGTTGCTTAGATATTCTCTTTTGCTAACGCTAGCATTTTGGAAACTGCACCGATTCATTTGGTCACTGAAGAATATTTTAATAATACATTCAATATCAACGTGTAAGGTATTTTATGCACTGTCAAAACAAACAAGCTTTATCAATTTTTACTGATGGGTGCTCGATTATATCAAATGCATAAGTTGAATCCATTAAAGCATCTTCAAATGAAAGTATCTACAGTTCTTTAAAAGCCATCGTCCGGTCGTTGACTTGGTGCTGGGTAGCTAATTTAAAAAAAAAGAGTCATATTCAATTCAATGCTGTGAGTCCAGGACTAATAGATACGCTCGTATCAAGAAACGAAGGAAACTGCAAAGAAGAACAGAACATATATGGCGATGGATTTACAGCTGTTGCAACAGCAAACCGTCTGGGTACACCTGATAAAGTAGCTACAGGTGTTTTCCTATTTTACATTTTTTTAATTAACAATGTCGAGTGAATACTAAGAAAAAAAAGTTGAATTCTACATAATTTGGAATGATTTTCAGTATTTCTAATGAAGAACCATACTTCAAAATGGCTCAAGCTATTCTAGTTGATAATTTAAAATAAAACTTTATGTGAAACAATAATAATAATAATATAGATTGTAATAAAATGAGCGTATTGGACGGTATAATTCACGATAAAATTAAGATTATCGAGAGATAGTTTTTTATATATTTTCTGTCCAGTTAGAGTAATGCTGAAGAATTCTATGAAGAAGAAACTTGAACAAATACTTTATATCAGTTGCATCAGAATAAATTGAATGAAACAAAACCATGGATAATACAATCAAATATAGCACCATCAGAGCAAACAGGAATGTGAATGCCAGTGGAGTTGAGCTAATGTGAGTCGATTGGCGACACACACAACGCACACCATTTGAAGCTAAAGTAGGCTTACAAATGTAAGACAGACATAATTATGAAAACACGTTCTGTTTATGATTTTCACGCATCGACTTATATATTGCCTACAAGATTTTGTATACGATAACAAATAAATAACATTAAGTATTTAGAAAATTTCAATTCTCTTACGATACACGCTGTAACTGAACGGAAGCCAGAGATTGTATGATTTTCTATTGTAAACATGTTTTTTTAATTAGGAAAACTATATTTTACTTGATGGATAAGTATATAAAACAATTTTTTTCTAATAAATGACGTTTCAACGAGGGCGAAAATGGGAAAAAAGATAATTCTTTTAAGCGATATAGAATTTCAACGTGACGAGATGAATAGATAGTCTTTGTAGCATACACAAGATGATTGTATATAAATAAAAGATTGGTCAAAGTCAATTTCATGATGCTAGTAAAAGTTTCTATTGTTATTTCTCATTGTTGTTCTAGAACTAAATTTCTATAAAAAAAATTTATAGCTTCTTTTTTTTTCAGTTATTTTAGAACGAAAAAAACATATTTCAGACGTTTCATTCTCATGCTCTATTGACAAACTACCATGTCAACGGCCAATACGTTGCATCTATTGCAAAATCGTTTATTTCTTGTAACAAACAATATAGAATCTCTGATTATTTGGTAAGTTCATATCAATTATATTGCGTAGAAAACATTTACGTATGTTAAAGTTTGAGGAATGGCGCCCGGATATAAGACCGATGTTCACATTTCTGTCCCAAATAATCGCTCATGACAAAAACTTCGCAGAGAACATAGAAACTATGAAGAAAGTTTTCGGTTAGATCATTTATTTTTTCGGCTTTGGTTATGTATTCGAGAATAGAGAACAACAACACGTACATTCAAATATAACAGCGTCAAGTAGATGAATATATTGAATCATTTAAATTTTTGTTCGAGGTTTATGTAAATGAAACTTAATTTTGGTAATTATGTAAAAACACTTTCTCTCGTTTCCTGTAAAAAAAAAGAAACATTTTCACCATCCTTGCTTTTATTTGAATGTTAATAATAATGATACATGCAGTAAATTAAGAAAAAAAATTCTACGTAGTTTTAGTTAACATTAAAAGAATAAAACATTCAGCGTTAGACCATAGTAATCCGAAAAATAATTTCTTTGATTTACAAAGACCAAAATATTTTTCTGTTACAACAATCATTAATTTTAGCTTCACTCAAGCTGTATAAATAACTTTTAAATATGGTAGAGCTTGACCATAACGATAAACAATGTATTCACGATAAGTAAATGCTGTTCCTCGGACTGAATGATGACCTTTTGGTGCAGATGTCAATGAGTTATCGACAGCCGATTGAATCGACTCAATTCCCAACAGTACTTTATTGGAGAATATGACGCGTGATCCATCTATTGTATCAGCATCTGTATAGTTATGCGATTTTCGAGGATCATCAGCGAAATAGGCGCCATGACCTAGACGATAAAACCAAAACCGAAAATAATGAAACACAATTATATATTATTATGACAAGATTTTTTAAAATTCATTATTCTCTATTTGATTTTTCTCGTGTATTAAACAGAATAGTTGAGAGACACGAAAGAATGCGTTGTTCTAATCGAAACAAAATGATTTGTCTTTATAAAACTATTTTTCTTATGTCCTATTTGATCTCGAACATGAAGAATGAAATATAAACATGTCATCATGTAAAGGTTCATAGTAAAAAGATGAAACCTACCCCAAGCTCCATTTGGATTAAAAAATCGATCATCAAAGCCATACTCTAATACTCCTGTAATTCCATCATCACTTGTACCATGAAAAAGTTCTTGTTCATTTGGATTAAAACCTGGACATTGTTGAGCTATTAATTTCTTCATACCTTCATAGATTTCTTCCAAGTATGGATTTCTAATTTCTTCGACAGATAGAATTTTGAATGAATCACTAATAATTTTCATTTTTTTCGATAAAATTTTATGTGAAGTGCTTGTATGATGTAAAGGTACAAGTAGTGCATTACATTTTGCATGTGGATTTGGTAAAACATTAAACGATTGGCCTAATTGTTTCCATTGACGAATATTTGTCATTTTCTCAATACGTTCTGTTATTCTATTATCAATATTACGAAGAACATAAAACCGTTTATTTTTTGTGTACTCAAAAAAAAAGAGTATACTATAGAATCGATCAGTGTGTCCGGCCGTCCGTTTATTCGATAACTCTTCACAATTACATTCGATTGAGCTGAAATTTTGTGCACAGAATTGTCTTATCAATATCTAGGTCGAGTTCGAAGATGAGAAGGATCCGTCAAGAAATGGCTGAGTTGTCGAAAAAATTGTCATTTTTGATCAGACCATCCCTGAGGGGGAGTACAGGGATTTTTCAAAAAAAACTTTTCTCAGAATTATTCACAACATATATAAATCGACTCAGTTTTTAACGCTGATTCTAAATCTGATATTAGTTTTGACCTAAACCGTAGCTTTCTAACGAAACATCGCCTGAAAAACGTCTCAAAATTCACAAAAACTCCATCCAGAAATCAAATTGTCTAGTTTCTCATGATAATTTTCGTGTTCAGGCATTCTAGAATGGCTCATATGTCGCATGCACTTTTTGCAGTACACATAACTCTCGGATGAAATCCGAAGTTTCCACATTTATTATATTATCAACAACGGTTTCTAGTTCAATTGAATAGGGTTTTTGTTGAATGTCAATTCGCATTCCTAAATCACGTGTATAATTTTTTTCTAACACCAAATTACTAACATCAAAATCAATACGATCGTGCGTTAGTGTAACATGTGGTTCAATCAAATTCATAGTAAATGGTCCCGTTCGAGTATTTTCATCGACGAATAAAATATATCTCCATTTTTCTCGATATGATCTGCAAATTATGCCAAATTTAAAAAGTTCATCTTGAAATCTGTCAATATCAAAACGAGCATGTGTAGGTAAATGACAATCTAAATCAGCTGGAACAACGTTTTTATTCATTGAAGGAATCTGTTCATGATTATAATTTATATTATATTCAATCCAATCGTTCGGATCTTCACTGTTTGGATGCGTTGTATATTTCCCAACAATCCAATCTCGAACGAAACCACCTTCTAATTTACAATCAAATCTACAAACAGCTATCCAAGCAACAACTTCCATTCGTGTTTCACGTGTTGCTGCAGAACCTTTGACACTATTATATAAATCAATGAATGTTCGTTTAGGATCTGTGACATGAGAAATTCGTTGCTCAATATCCTCACAATGAATACGCATTTGAGTACGCAGTAGACGCGGAGATACACCTGAAATTTAGGGGGGAAAACTATGTAGTTTACGCTTATCGAAAATTATATAAATGAATGTGAAGTAATTAAAAGAGAAGTTCTTTATTTTCACCTGAATTTGGATGTCTAAAAACAGCACAGTCTTGTAACCAATTTAAAAATGAATCAAATTCTTCTTTAACTTTTTGAATTTGTGAATCTCTTCCTTTAATTGTTATCTCACATGTTTTGGTGGCTGTATTACTATTTATTGATATTTTAACTTGCTTTTCAGCTTCCCATATCTCCATATCATTGGATTAAATATCTGAGGCATTTTCATGACACTATCTAGATTTTGTTGTGAATTTTTATATTTTGTTGAATTTGATGGATTATTGTTTTCTAAACAAAATGTATATTCAATAATCGATTGTTGAAGCAGGTATAATTCAGTGGTGAGAACAACACCTGCTAGGCCATTTAAATGAATGAGTCCATTATTGAATTCCATATGGATTATGTTAGAAAACATTGACTTTGCTGTTGAATATCCATTATTTGTTTTAAGACAATTTTCTTCGGCTTCATTTAATTTTATTTGACGTTCAATATTATGATTGATCCCGTCGGGTTTTACTACGCCTAAGAATGAAATTATAGCGGTTAAACGAATAGAGCTCAAATAGAGAATATCTCGTGCTACAACAAGTGAGACTGGTGCTTGACTAATAGGCCGTGTTAATGTTGGTTTTAAATGCAGGACAGCTGTGTCATTTATATCACTGTAACGAGCGAAATGATGAGTTCTATCTTGTAAATCTTTTTTAGAAACAAAAACATTATTAGAATAGCCTACTAATAATGCTTTGGCTATCAATTCCCATTTGTCAGATTTTATTTGAGCTTGCTGACGATATTCATTTGAAATATCAAATGATTTCTCTAAACTAGTATATCGTCTTAAGGCTTGCCCAATAATATGTCTTATGTGAGTCAGACTTTTTGCTTCACAAACACGTTTTAAGTTGAATGAACGTGCTGCAACAGATTGTTTAATTAACAAAATTTCATTCATTATACTTAGAAGTGTCATAAAGTCACCATCGGAATTTTTAAAGCGTTGTGGTAATTTTGTTAATAGAGTTGTTGTATTTGAAACACTGAGAATAGATGCAAGACAAATCAAATCACGTCCACAATTGTATTGTCGAAGAGCAGCTAATAAACATCTTGCCATTGGCAAAGAACCAAAATCAGGTCATTTTGCAACTAACTTACCATAGGTCGTCAATTGATTTGAATTTGAATCCAAAATATCTGTAAGGATAGACAATCGAATATTATTTATTTATGATTAAAAAAAATATAATGAACTGATACGATCGTAGTAAAAACACAATAAATGAACTAGTTTTCATTCTATTTTTTTTTCTAAATTCTCAAGGTGGGAACGGCGAACTTTGAACTTGAAGTTACTTTAAGCTACTTTTAGAGGTGAACTTCGAAGAATTTTTCGATTTCAAATTTACTTAGAATTACGTGAAGAAGTGATATCAAAGTTGAAAAACTACTTGTTCTTATTTCGGATTACTTGAGTGAGATTTTTAGCTACTGTAAGCATGTACTTCGACCTACTTTTCTACTTCAAGTTCGTCATCTCTCCCTTGTAAATTTTTCATCGAAGGTTTCGTCAAATGAACTTTATCATTTATTTTTAGATCGAAAACAAAAACTCGTTATTATTATAAAACGACAGGAAATAGTAAAAGTAATAATATAAAGTGATTTGAAATTTTTTTTCAAACTGATAGCCTGCATATTAAAACTTTGAATTCAGTAATGCGACTTATTGTCATAATAAATTTTCACGTGTTCATTATTTTGTATGGATTTGGGTGAGAGAACATAGATTAAAGACTTGCATTTTTCTAGAAATTAAAATGACTTACTCATTTGTATTAATTCATCCATAGTATAATCAATAGCTGTTTTTTTAGGTGTTTCAGGTAGAAATTCTTTCAAATAACCTAATCCATCTTTCAATGGTGATTTTCGCAATGAAAATTCAATACTAATCAAATCTGATTGGCTTATTTGTGGTGTTGGAAATGGTTCAAGTTTAACATCGAAATTATACAAAGCATAATACTCTCCAGGTTGTGTTCTTCCTAAACGTCCAAGACGTTGTTTTATTGTTGATTCAGCTGCAGGAATTTCTTTCAATATCGTCCGTTTACATTGTATGTCATAGACTGGAATATTAATCATACCAGTATCAACAACATATTTTAATGATGGAAACGTTAAAGAAGTTTCAGCCACTGTTGTTGAAAAAAAACAGATCCTTTCTCAAGATATTCTTGTTGAGTAACAGATGATTGAGATTGAACTAATGGATAAGCCACTATTGTATTTTGACTTATTTCGGCTAATAAGCGACAGCATTGATTGACTTCTGAAGCTGAATTAACAAAACATAATATTTGATCTTGTCTGCGTCGTTTGTTATATAATTCTTGTACAATATTTAAAAGATTTGCATTCGGCCGTTTAAATTGTTTTACAGGATAGAGAGTTGCCATTGATGGTATCGTGAATTCTGTTAATTTAAGATGTTTTATTCCTTGGAAAAGTTTTGGTACAGAAGGATGCAGTGTTGCAGATGAAATAATAACTTTTATTTTATTCGATAATAATTTATTATTAGTTAACATTCGAGCTATTAATGCTAAACAAAGATCAATATTAACCGAACGTTCATGAACGTCATCAATAAAAATAACGATGGATTTATTAACACTCGTATTATCTGTAATAAATCGTTCATCATTAAGTAAACGTTCTTTTAGTAAACCGTCTGTTAAGTAAAGAATTTTTGCTCTTGGATTATATTCATCACCACTGACAACCCATCCAGCTAACTTTTCTCCGGTAGGACTCGCTTCAGCTGTCATAGTTTTGTTGACACGACTAGATATTAAACTGCAAGGCAAACGACGAGGCTGTGTTACAATGGCTCTATCATATCCTTCAGCAATCAAGAGAGCTGGTAACAACGTAGGTTTTCCTAAAAAACATAAATAAACACAAAAATGAATTTCATCTAGTAGACTTAATAATGCGTAAAATAATATTATTACCTGAACCAGTTGATGTTGATATTGTTATTACTGTATTCATATCTATTTGTTGAAGTAATTCTTTAGATGATTCATATAAAGGTAATTGAATGATAAAGCAAAAATAATAAATCATTAATCGTTGTAATAAATGAGGAATACGACACAAATTTGTTAGCTCGCAACCGCTGTATTTAGGATCTTCTTGGAAGGTTCGTTTAATTTTTCCAATAAAATATTTTACAGTTTTGATTGAATCTTTCGTTGGTTTTAATGAGAGTTTTAATCGTTGAAAAGAAATATTTAGTTCAATAAATTTGTCTAATGCTTGATGTTTGAGTCGTTCAATTTCGTTCATAAATGAATTTTCTATCATAAATGAGTTCGTGACTTGTCTAGTCGTAGCTGTTGGTGATGAAGAATCACCTAAAATAAATAATTCACTAAACTCTAATGTTTTTTTCCAATAAATTCCTTGAATTTTGTACAATATTGAGTACTTTCTGCTTTTAATAGTTCATAGAAGAATTTACTATATATTGCTTCCAATAATTGGTGTTCGGTTGAACTTCGAAAAGCTTTTTATTTATTGATTTTGTTATTCGATTGAGATGTCGTTGATAAAAATCAATAGTTCGTTGCTTTATATTTGATAAATTTAATATTCTAAGTAAGATTTGTTTAAATGCTTGATGATGAACTCGAATACCAATCAAAGTAAGTATGTATGTATTGCGTTTTTCTTCAAATATCAATTTCGGTATTTTATCTATGAAAGAATCGTCTAATTTTTTCGTTCTTTGTAAATAATCAAGAATTAGTCCTTGTTTTGTTACGAGAAAGTCATAAAAAATATGTTTTTCAATTTTAGTATATTTTATAGTTTGAACATTGTTGGCTATTTCCTTCGTCTTTCCCTCTTTTTTCTTTAGTCTTTCTAGTTCAGCATTCAAATGTTCAGTCCTCTGAATAGTTTCAGCTAATTTGTCTTCGAGCTCTGTTGTTCTCTTTTCAGCCGAGTTCAATTGTATTATTGCTTTTTGTCTTTCGTCGTCACGAGCAACTTGGACATCTTCCATTTGTTTTTTCAAAGTGTCTAACATTGCTGTTGCAATTTCATGACTTTCTGTTAAGTCTGAATTGTCTACTACTCTTGTGGAAAGTGATGAAAGAGAAGTATCTCCATCGACATCAAGATAATCATCGATTATTAAATTTGTTGTTTCATCACAATCGTCATCAACTGTTCCAGATGAGTCCATTGAGTTTTGTTCTTCTTCAGATCCATCATGACTTCGAACAGTTATTGCAGTAGAATTGTCGTCATTTTTAATCCATACATCACTATCAGATAATTTTGTTATCTAAAAATAAGTTAAATCTTTAATGAAAACTAGAAAAATATTTTTTGTTTCGAATATGTGACAGTACTGTTCCAATTTCTTTGTAATTCTCAAGATGCGTATAGGTTTTTTTCTGCAGATTTATTACACAAAGCCATCTAGAATATGCGTACGAGGTTTCGAATGTAAACTGTTGCAAGGAAACAATAAACTGTATTGTAGTAATAGATGCTAACGATCTGTATTGCTCATATTTATCTGATTATCAAACGCGTTATATGACTTTCTCTCGCTTGATGATTAAACAAAAACTTCTTTAGAAAAATGCGTTTGACTAGATAATCTGTTCTATTTTTGTAAATAATGTGTTACATGAAGCGTAAATGAAGCACATATTAAGTATATTAAAATCAACCATGTTTTAGAATAATCTTACATTAGACTACTGTGTCATAAATAGGGGTGTTTCGATTTATAAAGATGCGATGAGAAGTCCTATTCAAGATGTGTGAATTTTGTTTTACATTTATACTTGAACGCTACGTTGAAGTATTATCTTACATGAGCTTTTTTCTTTACAATATGAATGTACAAAATAAAAATGGTAATAATAATAAGAGTTCGTTTTAAGATAATTACCACAATTTAAAGACAGTATCTTCAACTTTTTACATGGAAAATCAATATAGATAATTACTTAATATGAAAAATGTATCAATTTACCTCATCTGAATTTGTTAATGAAGTATCATCATCATCGTCAAGATCATTCGAAAATCCTAGAGAAGTTGCATCATCTCCATTTCTATCTTCAAGTAATTCGTCATCTTTTGTTAAATTGATGTCCGTTGCTGTTGCTATTTGTTGAAGATATTTTTTAGTGAGTGGTATCGGATTTAAATTTGTCATAGCTGAAAAATTATCTATAGCTTTTAGTTTACTTCTATCTTCTTCATTGTTCGATATTAATTTTGGTATCCACCGAATAAAACCTGTAATTGTTTCTTTGTTATTTGAAAATGAGAATGCTTGAAGATTGAACGTTAAACTCTTGTCACTAATAAAATCTAAACTCAATGCAACTACTTTTTGACGATAATTCATCGCAAAATCAAATCGTTCATTTGTATTGGCATCGCAATTATACCAGGAGTGAAGTTCGATTTCAAATGTTGAATCATCTACTGTTGAAATATTAAATATTTTCAGAGATGACACAGAATTTGACTTAGCTTGTGGATGTTTCAGAAACATAATTTGCCATAATGAATAACAGTCAAAATTTAAAATGGATGAACCACGACATCGAACCCAAGCTAAATTATTTTCACAAATATTTTTACCCGAACGTAGAAATTGTACCATTGATACATTATAAATACCTTTGCGTACTGTTAAACGAATTTCATGTTTGAATTGTTGGTCGGGTTCTATTATCAAAGATTTCTGTAATACATCGGATTCTTCGGATGAAAATGAATACCATTGTGGATCATTAAATGGTTTATACTCCCAAACGCAATCTACTATTTGTATAGGTTCATCTGACACAGCGTTGTCTGGTAGGCCACTCATGGTTTTAGAATAGCCTAATAGAAGATAATTTCGAAAGTATTGCTTAATATCCTCATGAGATCCTATGTTCATGAGTGGTGTTTCTAAGGCTTGATTTTTGATAAAATAATTAGCTCCATTTTCGACTAAATATTTAACAATTATTAAATGCCCATTAAAACAAGCTCCATGTAATGCTGTTGAAGCAGCCTTTGTCTTACTCTCATAATCTAAATTTTTCTTACTGGATGACAAGATTTTTTCAAGATGTTGTTCATTTTGAGCATTAACAGAACATTTTGCTGTTTCAATAAGATATACTACTGAATTCATATGACCATTTTTTGCCGCTGAATATAAAATCTTGAGGGTGTGCCCCAAAGTCCCGGTTTATCTTTTAAAGTAGGATAATTTGTTATAAAAGTTTTCACAATATCGAACATTCCATTCCACGCAGCTTGAAAGGCATCTATTGAAGCTAAAAGACTTTGAAGACCACGATACAAGTGGAAAACGATACTCATGCTTAAATGCTTTTGAAACTCTCATTTTTCACTATCATAATCGTATTGGTACAAAAAATCGTATAGATAATTTCGATAGACTGCAAATAAAAATGGCAAATGTTTATTAAGAACACTTTCAATTATCATTTGTAGTTCATCCATTTCTTCATCTTCATGTATATTCAATGTAAATGTATTCATAAGATTCTCAAGTGTGTTGGTGGTTATAGTATCTGATTCAGATATAGCTGATGGTTGTAGCTTTCTAATTTTTATCATGCAAAGCTTTAATAATAGCTTCTAAACATCGTTTCAATTGATTTTCATGATTATTGACTGACATGTTTCGTCTCTTAAAAACAGAAGAAATACAGATGCACTAGATGATTAAGAATATTTTAGAAATTTTTAAAGACAAATTTTAGTAAAACAATATTCTTTTCAACATTTGTTCGAAGTAAAAGTGGAGTGTAATAGTAATGCTGAATAAATAAAAAGAAAATTTCAGGTGAAAATAGGAAGGAGTAAAGAGAATCAAGCGATAACTAATAAAGATTTGTTTTTCTTAATAACAACATGAATCAACTTGGCAACAAATGAACTAAATACAACATAAAATAATGCTACAACTTTCGTGGAAAATTTACTATTCAATGAAGTAATAAAATTTGCCTTTGAAATTCTTCTAGGAAAAAATGTTCTATACTTTCGAAGAACATTAACAGACGTTTCTTGACAAATACTTTTTCCTATTTTTTAGCATTCTGAAGTTTACTGATGAGTCACAAAAATGCTTTTTTAATATAAAATTTTGTACGTCTATATAGAAAAGCTGTCGAACGTATTTGGATTTAGTAAGTTTATACCTAGTAAAAAGTGAAAACTAATCGGAAAAAAATGATCTTACAAATAATATAACTTTTAAGCGGTACAATGTTTCTATGAATAATTGAATTGAAACAGAACTATTGGAATTAACATTTATGCCGGAACATTTATTATGTTGAAAAAAAATAATAAGAATAATTCTGTAAACAAATTTTCAGAAGAAACGTTTTGTTCAATTTATAAAATCTTAAAGATAATGAACAGAACAATGAATATGAGTTATGCATATTTTTATGGCGAGAAATGTATCAAAATAATTAAGTACCTCTCAAATATAGTCTAAAACTTTATCTAGATCAACCAGAGCTGACTGCATCAATGAAAAAATGTTCTTCGATGATTATATCTTGATCAGTTCACAAATTATCGATTGTCACTCATGTTCAATTCATTTTATTTTTTCCTTCCATCTTGACTAGTGACTATAACAAAACAGTGAACGAAAAAGCGAAAATCAAAGATCGCTCAAAATGTTGAATTCTACAAAGTTCAATAATCACTAAGCACGCAATAAAAAAATAAGTATTAAATACACAATAAAGTCATGATTTGAGAGTAAATGTATCTGAGCAGTTATGGAAGACGGAAAGTTATTAATACACTAATAAACGCTCTTCATCTTCTACACTAATCATTAAAGACTTTTTGTTAGGATCGTGGTTTGTAACAATCATACGAAAACGTTTAAGTATCGTGTATGATTGCTAGAAAAAGTCAGTCAGTCTAAATTATTATTAATTCCTTCTATTGTCATTAGTCAATATATGACTGTGAGATATTTCGACTTGTTGACATGACTTTCAATCTAAGAGACGTCTGTAATTAAATCGTTAGGATGTTATCGATCACTTATCTATCTATAGTTTTTGGACTATGAGCTGCGCATTATAAGTTTTCTAAAAACAAAAGAAAATGAGTCGAACTTCGACAAGACAACTAGAAAAGAAATCAATATAGTCTTTTGATCCATCATGTGCTTATTGAAATGTATGTATGGAAACTATCTATGTTCTATGATTATCAGTATGATAGAAAATGAAATACCTTCATTCTGACTTCATTCGATGCACGGAGTCTTTCTACAATTGCATCAATTCAGGTACTTTTCTTTCATAAATATAACTTATTCAAATACCTTGGCAAAGCTTTATTATTTGCATCTTATAACCAGTTTTACTTTTTATCAAACAAAAAAAAACACACATTTAGCGTTTCATGGATATTTTGTCAGTTATCATCTAGAAGAGATTGATAAGAACAAGTTAAAACAAACGCTATGCACAATGCTTTATTATTATTAACTAAGCTCATTCACAAAACTAGTTAATTAAAAAACTAAAAACTATCCAAAAAAAACAGCGTTACTCAAGTTAGTCTTTTTGTATAGTAGATAAAATTGATGATACCATTAGAACTGTCGATCTAAACAAAGCTATAACTGAACTGCTAACATCGACCAGCAAGTCCTTTCATTTGATTAGATCGATGCGAAGATATTGTTTTTTATTATCTTAGTACTGACTGAAAAATATTATATATGGAACCCTTCGATTTAATTGTAATCGCATAATATCTTATCTTTTGACTAGCTGCTCATTTATCTAATAAAATGCACCTGACTACGTCTTCCATTCTTTGTCTTAAATGAAAACTAATCATATTACACTATGAATAGGCTTCATGGACGAATAGGTTAAAATCTTTCACAAGGAAATATATACAACTTTGTTACATGGCAGATGATTCAAATTCATCTCCTCTTTATTTTTTATGATGCGGCTATCACTTTCATGAACAGAGAGTGGCATCTAACCTCAAATATTAGATTATTTAATCGTTTCGTTTTTTTCTTCAGAAAGGATGAAAGTTCAGCTGTGAAAAAAACGACCATTTCTATTAGTTCAACATTTTTCTGTCTGAATGATGACATCTTCTTGTTTATTGTCTACTGAATGTCACCATGAAGTGACACGTAAATTCAATATCTTTTTCATAAGTTTCACCATTAATAAGATAATACAACGTTTAAATTTGAATTACTAAATCATAAGATTTTCCTATTTAATATATTTGTCTGGTTATCATCGTGATAGAATTCATGCATGGAAGTAGAAACACTTCTGAAGTCTTCAAGATCTTTAAAATATTGAACGCCATAACCTTCTTAGCACAGGTTATCATAGATTGGTTGGCGGCTTAATTAACCTTAATTAGAATATTATCTAAAATTTATCATTTTTAAGTAGCCAAAGATAAACAATTCTGTTTTGTTTCCATCAAACTAATTGTAATATCAAGTACGCCCGCATATATCTATTATTTGCTTTTTGTGTTCTATCAAATATAAAAGAGGAAGACTAGGAAAATTTGATGATATATATTTGAATGTAGAAATCAATAAACTTTTGAGTATTCTGCATACATAGCCTGTCTCGTATCTATTAATAATAGACTTCTATAAGCAAGCAAACTTATGTTGATACTTGTCATGCGCGATTCAAATATTTTCCTCAAATAAAAAACAGCCTTCTCCAAAACGAATCATTAAACTGTGCTTATCTTACTCATATTGGATGTATTACCTTGCAGACGAAGGTATACGAATATTTGATTGATATCGTGTTCATTGTGAAGGACTTTCTACAGGTAACTTAGTGTATATTAGTCTTTTTTCTTTATATAAAACAAGGACTCCATTTTGAATTACATATACCTTGGGTATTTGATTAAACAAAATATTTCGTGGTTGAAAAATTCTGGAATACGAATCGATCGAAGTGCGCGCGTGTGTGTGGGTGTGTATGCATGAAAATAACCTATGTGGGAAGACGATCCAACACAAATACATTCACAATGTTTAGCTATTCCAGGGTAAAATACTCCTGTAAAAAGTTAAATCTTTTTCTTTACTTTTACTTTCATAGAAGAGATGTAGAATCGGGTGGAATCACATCATTTTCTGAATTAACAATAGCAGATACATGTGTATTTGGTCAAGTATTTGAAATTTAGTGTTTTTTTTAAATTTCAATGTATTTTCTCATCTTGACATATGTTTAGTACAAAAATGCAATAAGCGAACGAATTCGTCAAGAAACAAATCTACATTTCCCTGAAAATTTTGAATTCGTTCCAACAAGTGTTGCTAGACAAATTGAATCGCCTGATAATTGTTACTTTCGTGTAAGTTCCTATGTTTTCTTCTACGAATAATGACTTTAATCTTTCAATATCAGATTGATTTACCTCATTCAATTGTAACAATCAAAATTATTCCCAATCCACATGTTTATGATCTTTCAAAACACATAAGCCTTCAAATAGAACCTTTTGTTACTCGTAAATCTTCCGATATTGAACTTTCATTCTAATATAAATATACGTAAATGAGGAATTCAATGATATGCCTTCTCAATAACTATCTTTTTCATGCTCAAATTGTATTGAACAAAAATCAGAAAACAAAACAAAACATTTTTATTTACACGCAAGGAAACATATTTTTTTCAACATGTTAACCATGTATTTGAAATTTAATCAATACTAATCTTGACTAGATAAAAGTTAAGTTCTCTCCCAGCGAACTAAAAAATCGAGATATTATCTAATAAAACAAAATCTTAATGAAAAATTCCCATCATATTTAATGTTTACAGAGAATTTGTGAATAGAAGTGTTTTTTCTTTGTCAAACTGTGTGTGATTATCGAGTTTTTGGCTGCTCTATTTATCTAATAATCAGAACTTACAATAATGGATATATATATATATTATTTCTTGTTCTTTTTACTCGATTGTAACGAAGTACTTTACATGAAAACAAAGAAATTTATTCATCAATTAAATCGAAAAATTGAACAAAAACAAAAATACTCTTCATAGATGAACTTCATCATATTAAATGAGCGTTATATTATCTGACTGAAGCAATTGACGGATTTGTACAAGAAGATGATGAACAGGTAATAATATACTGACATGATTTTCTCCAATATGTTGATTGATCTATTCATACAAAAAATTAAAAAATACATAAAAATGTAATAATTAATAGAACTATCCACAAAACTCCTTTCCATCGTTTATCTGTAAAATTCATACGGCTTCGTCATAATACATTTGATACGCACTAATTGCTTTTCTAGTATAAGTGTTCGTCGAATAAAAAATGTATCTGATTTATTTCTGCATGTCAAGTGGATACCTCTATTAATTTGCTGGCAACGACTCGTTTGTGACTAATTTTCCTCTTTTTTTTCTATCGTGCCTTTCTTAATTGACTATAATAGCTACGAGTCTTCTAAGCATAGATTACACTCATAAGTTAATTTGTAGTGTACATTTAATAAAGCTTCGATAGGCTTAAGGGAAAACACCATATGGATTACTACTAAAAGTTATATTTTGATCAGTCTCAGTGTGTTTTTGTGTTAGTTAAAGAATGGCTGTGCCAGTAATCGTTTTTGATATTTATCTTAGTTAAAAAAGAAGCATAACACAGCGCTCGTTAGAGCCATCGAAAATGTTTTTTTTACTCATTTCAATTTTGATAAGCAATTGCTGAAATGTATCAGAAGCATCAATGTACTGTTCGCAAGAAGCTATAATATTTTATTCAGACACCTACTATCCTCAACTACCAGAGTATTATTCGTAATCAACAATTTTATATCTTAGTTGTTCATGTCTGTGAAGGCAGAGTCAAAAAAACTTGCAAGTACTATTTTTCTTCGAAAATCTTCTATGAATTCTATGAAAGATCGATTATAAATATGATTAACTTACAAGTTCACTATATAGTTCGTAAAATTGATAAAGTTTTAGTAAAGATTCAATTGCATTATCGTCTTTAAGTGTTAACGATCGAGTATCAATTGGAGAAAATTGTGGATTGAATTGATTTGACGAACAAATGTGAAAGTTATTTTTATTAAATGTTGAAAAATATTTTTTATCGTCCATAAATAATAATTTTATTTCCGATGAGAACTATGAAAACAAGAAAAAGAAAAATATTAGTTTGTCTTTTTTTTAAGTTTAAGTTTTACTTCTGCTTTAGTATCAAATATAAATTCTAATCCATCGGCAATAGAATTCAAGCAGGATTCTATTATTGGACATGTTGAACGACATAGCATTAAACGGTTCAGTCGCCGAATTAAATCACTCACCAGTTGAATATATCTATTGAATAAAAACAATTTTAAAATGAAATGGAACTAATTCAATGTCATAGTTTGACTGTAGGAGGAGCTTTTAATTTTTATCATTCACTTATGAAATTCAGAAAAACATTGAGAATTAGAGAATTTATAGTTCTTAAAAGCTCTACTACATTTCAATAATTAAATCTTCAACATGAGACAAACTAGTTAGTATTCTAGTATGAGATACTGGAGGCAACAAAAAAATTAATTTTCATTTATAAAAAACGACTAAAAGAGTTTTTTTTTTCTATTATTACAATATCATTCAGATACAATGAACATTGTTCTCAACTAATTAAAATTGGATTCAGCTGATCTCTATGCTGTATGAAATATATGAAAGCACTCGAAATAAATGCATATACAAGTACTTTACAACGATCTAAAACATATATTTTATTATGATAACACCATAGTAGAAAAATTCATCAGTTTTATATCTTGTTTTTTTAATGAAGAACATTACAAAATTTCATCAATCTATACAATATTTAATAGTAGACAAATATAACATAATGACTCTCAATATATCTTATGGTTAAGTAAAAAAACTGCTTGCTGGATAAATGTGTGCTAATCAAATTTAAAAACGTTTTCTGGACATCCTCTCGATCACAGTTTAATATCACTCATAACTTTACAAAAAACGAAATTCAACAAGTATTTCACGAAAAAATTGTATTATCTCCTTCTCTAGAGATACACGTATAGTCTATTCTATAAATTTAAAACTATTGTTCTATCCTCCTCAAATTGGTGAAATATCTTGAGATTTTTTAAATATTTTGCAATACTCCAGATCATCTAAATTTCATTCGACAATTCAAGAACAGACATAAGACTTTTTACAATCCAATGAAATAGTACAAAAACTGGTAGTTTCAGATATCTAAGACTATGTTTTTTTCTTGTACGAATTTCTTCTGGTCTTATAAGACCAGCAATAGAATCATATGAGACTGTGCAGTTAGATTATTTGATCTACGAATTCGTTTTATTATCTAGTTAGAAAAAAATTACAAAGATGAAGAGCGTTTATCATAGCCTATCAAATTAGTTCAGAGTTCGATGAGGTTTATAGTTGCTTCAACAAGTTAAAATCTTAACATAGAAGTCAACTACAGCTTGGTCCTAAAAATCAACATTGAATGCAAATAAAAACAATTTGTGCAATCTTTGCAAAAACAATCTATGTAGCTTTTATTGATAATAACAATTTAATTGTTTTAGGTAATTTATTCCTTGAATAGCACATTTCATCGTCATCATTATTTTACGTAGTCCTCTAGAAATTTGCCAAGAGACTAGAGTTCATATTTCAAAACAAGATGTGATTAATCTATGCATGTATGCTATGATAAAGATGTTGACAAGAAAGAAGGATCCAACTTTTTTCACTCCGAGACTCATTTTACGTCTTGTTTTATGGATAGTTCTATTGAGAATATTAAGAGAACAGACTAGATTTGAATCGAGAATAAATTAGTTTTGGCGAGTTCTAGTAGCGAGTTTTCGTATTGGTGACACTAATCAGAACAAAAGTCAAAATATCATATGACAAGATGAAGTTTCATAATTTCTTTCCGATGATTTGAAACATTTGATCATGCTATTTATTTGAACTCTATAGTATCTACTGACACTTCGTCAAGCATGACTAAAATACCGCATCAATTATGAAAAGACTATCTCTGACAAAATGTTTATTTTGATAAATGGAAAAAAAGAACGAAATATATTTACCGTTGAAATAATACTTGTTGATTCTCTTCATTTTCGAAAATGAAAAATAAATCTAAGCCATTCATAATTTGTTGGCAAAAGTAAATAAAAATTTGTTGTAATCGATGTTTATTTTCTTTTAATTTTTCTTCCATGAGATTTTTTTCCAAAATCAATTCATTTTCTTTACATAAATGATAAACAAATGTTTTCGATTCTTTTTTCATGGTATATTTCTTTTGACAATAAACTGTTGAATTTGTTAAAGAATTTTTTAACATAGGAATTTGATCTGAATATGAATATGCATTAATAGATGGCATTGACAAGTCAACTTCATCATATTCCATGAGACGGTTTGTATTTTCATTTGAATTTAAATAATGAATTATTTTTTGTTTTAATTTATCTATGGTATCACAATCAAGAACATTGACATGGAAATGCAATAAGTTTTCATAATTTATTTTTAATTCATATGAACAATATGCGATATTATTTAATAGTAATGTTGTTGATGATACTGAACGAGATGAACGGTTTAACAGTTCATCACATGGTGATGAATCGATTGAATCAATTAATATGCGTAAAAAATCATCGAATAAATGAAATTTATTGATTAATTGATTTTTCGATTGAAGAAAAAGATTCGAAACAAATTTTTGAAAAATACTTTCACGTGTCAATGGAAATAATTTAAAATTTTGCGGACTATACCGAAATAAATACACATATGATTCTATTAAATCAGTCGAATTGTTCTCAATCAGTTGATCGATAAAAGCGTCTGAAAATGGTTTCATATTTAGTAAATCATAAAATAGTTCCATTGATGGACGATATTTTGTCGAAGAAAATCTTTAAAAAAGAATAATTTTGTTTTAAATCAAAGAATAAGATAGTGTTTAAAAGTGTTTCTTTTCTGTTCCTTTTAAAATATTTACATTTCTTCTGTTGAAATTAGGTCGCATATGACTATCTATGATATACTGTGAGTATTTTTTTTATCATAACTTGAAATTGACTTAGCGACTGAGAAGTATTCTCAGTGCTCGTCTAATACTTAATTCCAACATGAAAAACGAAAATATTTTGAAGGACAGTAACATAACTTCATATATTATCATATTTTCTTTTGATTTTACTTGTGATTTTTTTTAAATAAAAGTTTCTTTAGTTGATCATCTTCTATTGATATTGTTGTTAGAAATGATGAACTCATTTGTAATTGTTCCATAATTGGTGGAGTACAACGTTTTTCTTGATAATAGGGACATTGTAGAAGTGGTGCTCGTGTTAAAGTATTATCATGTGATGATAAACAAGATATTTGTTCATAAACTTGATAGTAAGGAGCGGGTGATGCAGATGTGTCAGTTGACCAAAATTGTCTTTCATTTTCTTTTACATTGTTTTTATTGGATAAAACGTTTGTTTTAGATTTAGACTTTCCAAAATATTTATAAAATAGATAAAGACCAAAACTCAACACTGATACTGTTAAAAGAGAACTAGCAAATATAAGAGATACAATCGTTATTTTTGAATATTTGACAGATAATAATCGATTATAGGATAAATAACCAATTAAATATTCACGATAGCCAATACGAAAACGAATTGGACCAATTGAAGAATTGAATAATGTACAATCATCTAAATTTAAGTTAAGAAAAAAATGTTTTGTCGAATATTTTCCTATGTATTGATAAAAAATATGAGTAATTTGTTCGTAGGATGTTCAAGTTAAAAAAGAAATGAACGAATTATTTATGTTTTCATAGAATATTCCAGTTATATGTACGTAGTCAATCAAATAATCGATCAAGTTCTTTTGTCAAATACATCGATGTACTATCTCCAGAAAAATTATTAGTTTGTTTTTTGTTTTTTCATATTGTAGTAGATATCTTACCTGCTTAGTTTGTACTCTGGCTCTCGTTAATAATAGAAGAAGAGAAGATTGACAAATTTTCAAAGGTCTACTATTCATGATTACTCTTGTTCGTTTTCGAATAAGTTCTTGTCTTTGTTTAAAATACTCTTCCGATATATTGATTCGATTGTTTTGATGTACAACGATACTGATTAAAAGACTGAAATCTATGTTAGAACATGGTTCGTTTTCTATATATTCAGATGATCTCAGACATCAAAAATCGACAAATTACCAGTGTTCACTACGTAAACAGAGCAGATCTATACAAATTTATCTGCATAGGAAAGGTAACAGTTTGATATAAGTACTGAAAGATTATTCAAGAGTTTGAAATTTTTCTCAGTATGAATAGGAAATCTGTTAGTTATTACGAAATTGCAAATTCAAGAAAAACATAAAGATAGAGAAGTGTATTCGCCGAAGAATGAATAGAAAACTAACCTTGTTGTTGTGGATTATTGAGAATAATAGCTGTGTTTATTATTAATTTTTGTGGTGGTTGGCATGTAATACTTTTAGATGTGAACGTTCTAAGTTTACATTCTGAGCATCCAATAAATAATTGAATGTCAGACATTGATGCAGCTTCTGTTAAATTTTCTACATGTAATTTTAATTCTTCACCTGTGTACGGTAAACTTGGTAGTGTTGATGATATATTTAATAGCACATCAGGAATATAATGAAATTGGATGATGTTGGTTAATGAAATGATCGAATTATCAAAATAAAGTGAAAAATTAACATCTAATGGTGGCGACGGGAAGTCGTTCGATGATGTTGGAAGACTTGGCGTACGAAAATAAAATGATGAGATCATTCCATCTTCTGTTGATAATATATCATTTGTATTTATCTAAATAATAATTATTATTTTTATAGAATCGCAATACGGTGAAGAAAACTACAAAAAAGAAAAGCAATAACAAACTTTTAATTTCGCAATCCATTTCCTATGAGAAAACTTCACAGTAATTGTTTGAGCTGATCCAAAATGCATTCCTCGAACGAATACCAGACGTCCACCACTAGAATGAAACCCAAACAAATGCATATTCAAAATTTCTTATATACTTTTTATTTGTTCGAAATCAAAAGATGATTTATATATTTGAGTGAAACGAGAAATCGATGGTAATCTATTAAGATCATCCAAATATTTTACCAAGTCTTAAAATAAGTGTGGAATGATATGAAACTCTCAATGTATTAAAAGACTTGAAACTCTTTTTCTTCGATCTCATCATGTTAAAATATCAAAAATGATCTTCTCATAGAGAGACAACTCTGTGGTATGTTGATCAAATTTCATTTGTTTCTTTTGTCTTCGTCAAAACTTCACTCCAACTCTATTGACGAAATGGGCCAGATTCAGAACTAGCTTTAAAATCTCCATTGTAATTGTCTATCAGAATTATATCTATTGCTATTAGTATTGAAACTTCTCAATAGGTAAATAACTAAAAGAAAGTAAACCAAGTCTTTCTTATCAATTTTATTTTGAATCACTCGTCTATGTTGAGATTTGACAAATTTAGATAGGATTTGTTCATAGTGAAATGTACTACTATCATAGTTCGTTGTCCTCAAACTAATTTCAATTAATATGGATGCTTAGAAAGAAAAATAAATCTGACTACTCAAACATTGAAAACAAAGTCAATGTTTGGTTTTGAAAACTATTGCCGCATCTGTTCGTGAAAAGAAAAATCATTTTTGAAACTGATATTCTAAACTGTTATTGAATTTGTTGATCTGAAATGATATGTGAAAAGATCAAGATCTTTAATTAATCATTCAATTTAATTCTTACTTTAATTATTGAATATTATCAAGAGAATAGCAGGTTGATTTGAAAAATTTAATGCTCACGAGAGTCTCAATTTGTGGCACATCCTGGTCGATTTTGATTATAAAATGAATTCACTCAAAATAAACTGTCTAATTTAAAGGTCATGTAAAGAACAGATAATATTTATATTGTCTCAAACTTAAACAGATTTATATTATTCAGAACCTATCTTCTTCAATGACGATCGGAAGTATTCGAAAAATGCTACTTGATTAAAATTAATATTTCTACATCTAGTGACAAATAACTACTCAACATATGATCGTTTGAACAGCTTATACATTTCAATTTTAATAAATAACAATACATATGAGAACATAATTGAATGAACAGTTCCTGTTTCTACCTTGCAAAACTAATTGTTGGATCAATATCTTCAACGATTGGATTTGGTGTTACTTTTAAATTTTGTTCAACATTCAATAATTGTTTATCAATTTTTACAGTTATATTATAAATTTTCGATGCCATTGGCGGTAATTGGCACGATAAATTATTTAATGATATTTGTTTTAATTGTAAACATGGATAATCTCCAATAAAAATTGTTTGTTCATTACCAATAAATAAATTTTTTCCACTTAGATAAAGAATTTGTCCACCAACTTCATAAGCAATATTTGGAGTTATAGAATTAATTGACGATTGACAGTATTCAATATATTCTTTTGATAAAATGTATATTGAATTCGAGAAATGAACACTTATACGTCCTTTTCGTGAATAATTCGACATGTTTGCTTGACATTGAATTATATTTGATGAATTAATTGATAAACAAGGTATATCAGCAAGTAAAATTTCAATAATTTCTTCATTAATATGTTCATTTAAAAATATATTAATTATCGTTCTACCATTTAATGGAATTGATTTCGGTGAAAAATCGACAATACGTAACGATGTACATTGTTCATTTATTAAGCATTTATTTATTGATTTCGTTAAACATCGACCTTGACACCATGAACATTTTGAACGTAAATTACATTTATCACATGTATCATAAAGATCACAACGATAAATAAACATTTTTATTGGATTACCGATCAAAATATTATTTTGATGAACTGTTAAAAAAACGATTTGGTCATTTTCATCATTTATATGTGAAATTTTTGAAATTGAACAAATCCTATCTGAATTAACTAAGCCGTATATTGTTTCATTTAAACGACACTCAATTCGATTATCATATTGAATGTGATCAAATTTTAATGGAATTTCAATGGATTGTTTTGATTCAAGAAAAATATTCGAAGAATTTAATAGATCAACGGATGAACACTGAGATGAAAATTCAGTGCACATTGATGAACATCGTTGTGAACACCATTGACATCCAATTTCAGATCGACATGACACACAAGATGAATACGATGAACAATTGTAAAACGTAAAGTCTGATACTGTTGCTATGCTTACATTTGATGGCCATTTTATGATGGATAGACGAAGTTTTAAGTGAGAATCTGAATAATTCAAAATTTATTTTTTAATATCAAATATGTCTGTGACTACCTTGAAAAGATCGTACTAATCACGATTTAAAATATAGAATCTTATTTTTTCTTCTCTGTCTATGAGTCCTGTCACAGAGTTGCAATTAAAACTTCTAAGAATTCAATTTTAATTATTGCGTTACTGTGCATAGAACTGAAAAATTCCTTTAAGATTTTGAATATATGCACGCTGGTATCGTACCGAAATCAAATACTTTACCATTCTTATTCTATTCATATAGTTGTCAATTAATCAAATAAACTTATATTTAATTATTTTCTCACATAAAAACAATTTATTCATTGTTCATAACTCGACGACTCGATATACTCTAGTAAATATCTTAGAGTAAATCTATGAAGTTTAGAATCTTTCAAATTATTTATATACAAGTTTCCGTTTCTTCTCTATTCAATTTTTAGGAAATCTTCACAAAGTTTCTTCCGTGGTCATCGATCTTATGGTATTCAAGTATGGTTCCTTTTTTTCATCTATAAAATTGTTAATTAATATTCAATCACACAACAATCTAACATCCTTTTCTTCCTAAAGAAGTTGTACTATGATGATTCATTGAATAGAAATTGTGCAATGCAAGAAACACTATTTCGATTCACTAATATTATATCATCATAATAAATTAATTTCTCATAAGAAAAAAGAATCATAGAGAAACTGTTCAGCTAGAAGAATGAAAGACATGATCACTAGACACTCGAGAGGTAAAATCTCTCTTGTATATGAATTAAATTTTATCTCCTGATGTTCTATTACAAAAACAAAAAGAGATTCTTAGTATCTATCAACGATAATCATCTTTGTAACAAGAATGACTTGATAAGAACCAGGCAAAAGATAAAACGATTTCAAGTAAAGTTATTCCAATATCAATGCGCAATTTATAAAGAAACCGCAACGATATGGACACATCAAAAAGAAAAGAAGGGAAAAAAGCGAAAACAAATCCATCAAAATATATAATTATATTCAAATCAAGTAATCATACTCGTCGATAGCAACGTACAAACTGTAGAAAAAGAACTAACAAATACGCATTCTAATCGGAAATAATCAATGCAATTTTTTCTAATTCAAATTTTTTTTACAGCAATAAATGATCTCAATGTTACCTTTCTATCTTATCTTTCAATCAAATATTTAAAAAAAAGACATTCTACGTCGTAAAAAGTCATTAGTTTACCAATGAATTCTTATGAATATTTATATACATATTAAAAAAGATTATGACAATAAAAATCATCTAATTGAAATTTTTTCATCTTTCTAATCAACGAATTTCAGTTTTGTTTTTATCAAACAATCTAATCTCTTACCTTTATGAACATGAATATTTTTTGATGGCGTGGGACACGAAAGACGATTATGATCTAATTTAATTGCTTGTGTGCTTGCCGATAATATTTTATCCATAAAAATACATTGATAGATTTCGTTATGTTCTAATTGTGGCAATTTCGTCAAAGTTAGATTAATCTTTAGAAGTCACAAATGAGAAATTAATGAGTAATGAAAAAATAAAAGTAATAATCAGATGACAAACCCATTGAGTATTGTCAATTGAAGCTTTCAACGGTTGAACATGAACAATATGTGTACAGTGATTATTCTCTTGTTGCCAGAAATTCAACGGACAACTATTAGCCAATGTACATCTATTAATCAAAATCAAAATCAAACTTGAAAACAAAGAAATACGAAAACTAATTTTTTCCCTTCAACATAAAAGACGCACGCAAAAATAACGAATAAACGGTTGATTCCACAATTAGTAGAAAAAGGTCACCCGCTGGCATTCTTCAGTACTTTATAATAGACAATGTGTCACTATGGGTTCATTTTAATTGTCAAGGGGAATACATTTGATGTGTCAATATTCATCCATTAAACTATCTATCATGTCAATATTACTTTGTTAAATTGACATGAGAAGTTTCTTTTTTTTTTGTTTTGCTTATGTATGCATGTATGTCAATCTCAATGATCATCTTACCGTTGATTCATTGTGCACCAACCACATAAAGGATTGTTTGATGAAGATAAACATTCATCACATGACAAACGTGATGTACAATCACCTGAAAGTGATATACGATAGATCTAAATGAACGTTTTTCTTTGATTTATTCTTTTGAAAGAAATTTAAAATGTTTGATCAAACCTTTGATTCTGAAGCTAGGAAGAACGTTTCTGTCTTATTATCAAAAATCACATTCGAAAGAATAGGTGTTGCTGTAGATAATTGATATGAATAAAACCAATTTATTTTTACACCAAAATCGTAAAGTCCCTTAAAATGAATAAAAACAAAAAAGATTTATTTTATCTTCCCAAGTATTTGTTTGTTTAATTCATTATCATCAAACAATAAAGAGTAGCAACAAAAAAAAGCCACATAGATTGCCTATGCATGACTATCTTTGTTTGATCAAAATAAATGAAAAATACTGTCATCTGACCTTTTATTGATCGGTATACTTTAGGTAAAATGAAAAGAATAAATGTCTTTAGGCATTTTGTTTTTGACTTGATTCGATTGGTGAAATACTTACTAGCTTAAAAGTACCATTAGTTAAACCGTGAAAAATAAGTTTTGATGAACCGACTGAGTAGATTTGAAACACACTAGAACTTTCAAGTATATTTTCATAAAATAAATGACCAATAGCTGGTGTTGTACCACCAACTGGATATGGAAAACGGTCATTAATTATCCAAGGACAAAGATTATCGCTATTGATTGGTATTGACCAACTCTGAAGCAAAAAAGAAACGAAAATGAAAAATATCTATTTAAATATGAATTTTCCATTTTACTTCATCTTTTCTGCATGGTTCATTTGGTTTAATAAATGCTAAACCTCTTTTTCCAATACCCATCGAATAACATGTACGATAGTTATCTTCAAAAGCTTGATCAATATCATTCTGAATATTCCATAAGCACATATTTGTTCCACCAGTGCCATCTTTTCTTGTAAAATGCCCTATTAAAATTGCTTGATTTTTATCATTAAAAAAGATTTCAGCTGTTTTTATGAACCATTCTGAATTGGAACATATTAATGGTATTTCAATATATGTGCGAATTATTGAGTTTGAACTATCACGACAAAAACGAATTATTTTTGTAAGAATTTGTTTTTGTTCAATGTCGTTTGGTTGATTTGTTATAAAATAAATATAATTCTTGGTATAGAATGAATAAATATATTGAACAATAAATCTCGCTTGCTGTCTTGACATAAAACGTAATGATAAATCATCGCGAGATATTCTTTCATCATCATTTGTTGATAAAATTTTCATAAAACGTGAAATATTTAAAGAACGTCCAGATATATTTGGTATTTGCCAACGTTGTGTACCTTCATTTGTGTATGTAACACCAAAATAAATTAAATTTCTTTCTTGTATAATTAAAGCATTTGTACTATTTATCGGATCATTAGCAACTATTGGTAATGATGAGTTAATAATAAGATTAAAATCTTGATCTAGTATTTGACATGTTCCTTGAAAGATTGTTCCACATAGAAGAATATTTTCTTTATGAACTCTTAATAAAATTTTGATGTGATTATTTCTATCACATTGACTACATTCGAAATTGTCACTAAGAGAAATAAGTTGTAAAGATGGTATTGTTCTATTTAATGATAATGATGATAAACGATGTAGAACATTTCGTGTACCAACATATAAATTGTCATTGATCAGAAGAATTTTTTCAATAGTATGATTTAAATCATTTTCAATTATATCAATTGATACACTATTTACAGATAATATTAAATAACTAATTATTAAAATTGAGAGCATACTAAAATCAAAATACCAAAAAGAAATAATTCTTTCTGAAAAAAAATAAAATCTTAAAGGAATTAATTGTAATTTAATATGGGATATAACTTAAGTTCTTTTTTATTCAGTAAGATTGTGATGACAAAGAGGATTACTATTTGCTGTCTATGTTTATTCATACGCATACATATCGAATGACTCTTTCTATTCGTTGTTCAACTATTCACATCCGGCATCAAAACTAATCTGTCAATCATTTTGTTTTTTTTACTTACCTGTCTCCCGTGCTCTCCGTTCACATACACATATAGACTTGTCAAATTTTTGAAACGAGTAAACGAACAGAGAAAAGAAATGAAGTTGTATGTTTATATGAGCATATATAAAGAAAATAATTTTCTTGTTGTCGTCCACAACTTTTTTCTGCTTTCTCTCTTGCTCTCTATCGTTCAGTTTCTGTTTCTCTGTCGGTCATCGTAGAACGAAAAGAAGAAGAAGAAGAAGAGAAAAAACAGAAGGAAGAAACAACAGGAGGCAATTAGAGCAGATGGCCAGGTGATTCATTTGAGCAGAAAATTGAGTTCACTCTTACTGTGTCATAATACTAATGACTTGAAGTTTTGATTGATGATATGATGATTATTTCGATAGATGTCAAAATTCAAAACAGGAAACAGATTTTATTAACTTATTTATCTCTTACATGAATCAATAATATTTCAATCTTACTCAAATATTTTCATTGAAATAACAGCAGATGCTGTTATGGGAGATTTTAAATTGATTCAATTTTGAAAATCTTCTCTCTTGATTGATAATGAATTTTATAAAGAAAATCTATAGAATATTATAAGAATCAGACAACCAATGCTTATATGATAGTTTGTTTCCATTATCGATTAATCAATAGGGAAAGAAAATTTCGTTAGACTATCATACAATATCTGTTCTGTTATCAATGAAAATGAAATTAAGAAATAATAAACAACAGGAGAGTTTGTTCGTGCATTTTATAGACAGCTATGAACTATCAAAGAAATGTAAATTACTTTTCTATTTAAGATTGAATTTCATAAGTCGTATTCAAATGTATCTCGAAATTTTGATACACATATGGCGTTACGGCAATATTACCAAGAATTATCCTTTCTTTTTTTTTTATTACAATTACTGTGATTCTTTAATAGCTTCGATAGGAAGGAGTCGTAAGATTTTAAAATAGAAAAAACCAAGAGTATAAATAATCTCTGTAGGCATGAAAAGCTAGACACGATCTAGAAGATATAAAAAATAGAAAAGTGCCCAAAGCAGGGATGTTTTGTAGTTGAACTTTTGAAACAGAGGGCGTAACACCTAAAGTTACCTACTCGTACTGATGTCTCTAGGAGAAATTCTCACTATATTTTGACATCTACACATAAACCACTTTCTATGTTTCTGCGCCATGACGAATAAAATGGTCGAAAATTGTCAATAGAATATCCACATAACATAGATGAAACATATTATTTCATTTGTTCTATCAACTTGATTATTTAGTATTGGAATAAATATCATAATGTTCAATATATAATCATTTTCTTTTTCGTGATGTCGATGAAAGAGTAGAGACCAGTAAACTCAACAGTTGATTGTCTTTATAGATGTCAAAGAAAGAGAAAAAAGAAACAGTGACCGGATAGGACACGTCTGCTTGCAGCACTTACCCTTTAATATTCATTGAAGCAAAAATAAAAATGGCCGATTTTTATTGTGATTTTTCCCAATGAGTTCCAAACTGTAAATTTGATCAAATAAAGAAAAGAAAAGAGATTTGAGAACTATTTTCACGAGTTTCTACATCGTTTTATGTCAATAAATGATCAGAAGACGAAGAATCCGATCGATTGTTGTCACTTTTCATGTGATAGAACTGCATAATTAAGAGCTTTCTCAACTGTTTTCTAATTATTTTGAAGTTAGATTGATGATTTTATCCATACGTAAATTGGATTATTACCAATACATATTGTTATTATTATTTTTTTTTATAGAATTCTAATTTTTCGTTCGTATATGTTATGGGAGAAGATGAGATTATCACAATTTATGTTTTTAGTGTGAAGCTTTTAGATAAACAAACTTCTTGAACAGGAAACTATTCTCTTGTGTATAAACATAATATGTGGTTATTTCTTGGACACAAAAATCATTTTCTTTTCTTTTTTAAGTTAAAATAATTGATTCATCTTGGGGCTACCGAAATTCTTATTTTAATCATGATAGTTTTTATCCTTAACTCGTGCATGATTATTTATATAGCTTTGATTATTATTTAAGAATGAGAGAAATGAATTGTTCTTGTTGAAACAGGATTATAACAGCTTCAAGCATAGTCGACTATTTCATACTGTGAAGCCGTAATAGAACGTTTTCTGATAGAATTAATATTGCATAGTGTTTTAAATGGTTGAGCGAGTTTAGGTAACATACAGTTTATAATACGAGAGATTGCCACAGGCGGTCTTCGTTCATTTTAATCAACGAATTACAGTCGGATTCAAATGATACTCTAACACAAGTATTTATTAACAGCCGACTAATTTCATTGTTTTTCTTTTGTCTTCATATAGATTTTAAGATTTATCTTACACAACCATAATAAAGAAAATCTGACGAGAGTGTAAAACTTTTATAATTTTACTGAAGAATGTTTTTATTGCAAAGCAAGATAAAAAGCAGAACTAAACACAATCTCACCTTAAATAAAACGGAAGAATAAAGTACATTTATTAGATATTCGACGCGACGCGAAACATTAGTAACAATAATGAAGGAATTTATTTTCTTATTAAGGAATAAAATTTTAAAAACTTCCTGTTTTAAAGTGCGTGTTATTCCAACATCTCTCAATTAATGTGTATCAGCTTCAACGAAAACCCGTTCGATTTGACACCAACGATGGAGTGAACGAAGACGAGGAGGAGGATAAGAGATCTAAGAAAGAATAGGCTATGCTTCAGGATGTTGTTCTACATTGAGTAATGGTTTCACGAAACTGGGTTTAACTTTGATGATTACTGGTGTGTTACTTCTGGTTGTGGTTACTGCTATTATTCCACTTGTTTTTATTCTTAAAAACAATACAGGTAATAATCAATTCAACTTAACAAAGATTGCTACGACTAATGAATTCGATATAATATATGGATTTTCATTGAATTTAGGATCAAACAATAGTTCAAGTTCGTCCAATGTGAATGTTCCTAAACGTCTTGGTATCTATTATGGATGGCCATCATTAGTGCAAGGTGTCCAGGGAAATCTAACTGCAGCTATTTCCATATTTAGTCAGTTTGATTTGATTGTCTTTGGTGATGGAATAGCTTCGCCCTCGCATGGTGATCATAAGAATACACAAATAATCATTCAATCATTAAATAACCTTGGAAAATTAAGTTTTGGTTATATTGATCTAGGAGTTACAACACAAAATTTATCTATTTTACAGATGCAAACAACTGTTGATGAGTGGGCAGCTATGGGAATCAATGGGATTCTGTGGGATGATGCTGGGTAAGAAAATTTTTAAATTTTTAAACACAGAAAATTGAGTTTTCTACGCATAGTTATGATTATAATGTAAGTCGATCTCGTCAAAATACAATGATCTCTTATTGCCATTCATTCAATTTACGAGTTATGATGAATGCATGGAATCCAGATGATGTTATGTCTGGGAGTCCAATGCTTTTAGGCTCTAATGATATTTATTTACTTGAATCATATCTAATATCGAATGGAAACTATCAAAACTTGGCAGCATGGAAAATAAAAGCAGATAAATGTTTATCGTATGCAAATCTGTATGGAATTTCAATGGCGACTCTTTCAACAAGTTCAACTCAAATATCATCATCGTTTGGTTTAACTCAACAGTTTAGTCAAGCTTGGTTTGGAACTGCTATTTATAACTTTCAATATTTTCAAGCTACAGATATTCAATACAGCTCATCCAATAATATGTTATATGCATTTGAAAATCTCTTAACATCGTATGGAAACAGTTGGCAAACAGCTGATGTACAAAATGATTCAAATATCCATTTTTATAGATCAACAGATACTTACATTTTAAACATTTATGGAGATGGGATGACTTATGGAAATGGAAGTTTTACTTTGGTATCCAATGGATAATAATATGAACAAATTTAACGGATGAAAATTTTCTTTCAATAATTTTTTCCCATTTGATTTTCATTTCACGTTAGGTGTCTTTAAAATTGTAGCAACACAAATAAATTAAGTTAATTTTCGCATGTTTTTAAAAAAAAAACAAGATTGATAGATTATTGAAATATGAGAAGATTATTCGTTACGAATTTTCATCTCAAGTGCAAACGAATGATAGAAATGTCACGATCAATGATGAATGACCTACTACACAATCGATGTTTAACATATAGACTTCATGTAATCCTATGTTGATACAATAGGTAATCATGGAAAGTTCAAATGTAATTATTTAGTCATATCGAGTATCCCAAAAATCATAAACACTTAAGAAATGCTTCGAATTATAATACTAAACTAGATGAATATAGTTCTATTTATTTTCATAGTAGGACGAGCAAAAACTATTTCAATTTAATGAAAGAGTCGTTCAAGACTTTGTTTAGTTAGACATATACTACTTTCGATTATTATGCCGATTTTCACTGTTCTATAGAACGATGGGCTTCCTCGATTGTTCTACCTTTAAAATAATATGAAAGTAGTCATGAAGCTGACAATTTAAAAGCAAATAGTCCTATAGTTTGTTTAGTTGGCATTGTGAATCCTTCTGAAGATTTTGATCAATTGACTACAATATGGATGGCAACAAATGAATATTATTCTACTCGTATGCAAAAATTGTATTTCAACACTTACGAAAGCATCCAAGAAAATCTTGAGCTATGACACAAGTGCATAGAACATTCGATAGAACAATATTTTCGGTAGTATTGCCATATTCTAGTCATCAATATCTGAAAATAACAACTTGACAACTTTAGCTTCTAATAAACTTTCTTTGAAAAGTAATCCAGAAACGACTTTCAACACTATCATTCTTTTACAAGAAAAGATTATAAAAATTACCCATTACAGTTATATCCGTTTATGTTTCTTGTAGATTATTCAAATCTTTAACAGAATATGTTTAAAAGATCAGCCATCAACGACTGCAAAAATAAAAGCTATTTGAATTATGACATGTCACGTATTCATTATTTATAAGGCCTCATGTTTTGTCGTACATGGGATCTCATCTTTTCAAATCAACATATCTCGAACTGAATTTCAAATACATTGCGTAATTCTAAATCTTTAAGCAGCATTAAAAATAAAACTCGATAAAAAAAAGGTATCTTTAACAAGAAAAATATCAAACACTACCTTTAACCTAGTTCATACCCTTGTAGAAAGCAGTTCGAGAAACTATTTTTATGTTATTCAGAAATGAAAATTTGCATATTGTAGAAATGATCATATCATTCTGAATGAAATACGATGAATAGTTCTATCAAACAAGAAAAAAATGAACTGTCATATGCATCTGGAGCGTATAAATGGCTAGTAATCATCGTAAATGATAGATTTTTGGATGTTTTTAATAAATTATTGCGAAAAAAAGTAATAAAACCGTAAAATTGAGAGTGGTCTAACTAGAAAAAGGTAACTTTGGTAATCATCAGGGGTGAATATAAAACAAATATTTAGACATAATTGTTTGTATTCATTGATAATCTATTGACAAAAGAAATATTTTAATGAAGATGGTCCTAATTTGAGAGGACAGACGTCAAAATCTATGTGAAAATTCATGGAATTTTTCGAATAAGAATTCATTTTTTTGTCTTCTTTGTATTGCAAGTAAAATTTCGAAGTATTGTGATGCAATCTAGATTCCTCTCATACTCTCAAGGTTATTGCGTGCGATGCTTCATTCATATGTATTTCCTAAATGAAAACCTGCTGAAAGATTAAAAATTGTTTTCAACAATATTCAAAACTAATTCTAAAATAAAATCTACAATGAATTATGAACATTGAATTCATTTCAATTCAACTTTCTTCGTAGTTCAATCGAGATAAATTCTTCAATACAATAGTTTCCATGTATATCATCTTTACCAACTTCACTGTCACGCCAATTGCATTTATTATAGAGTATTTTATAAGACAACAAAAGTGTTCTCTCGTGTAAAAATCGTACAGAGTCAATATAGAAGTAGTTTAAATAATAACCCAACCCATCAGACACTTGATGGTCTTGTCAAGCGTAATACACAACTGTTCACTGATATAAGTCGTAAAAAATAAAAAGAAGAAAAATATTAAGTTAGGTCTTAATCAAAATTTTATTTTTGAAATATATTATATTCGATTAAAATTCAGTCGAACGAGAAAACATTTAATTAAATTTAACATTGCAATTCGACTATATTATACTATATATTTTGTCGTTGGAATAGTTATATTACATGAATTTCCTAATTCATATCTTTCATTTTATTCGAAAATATGGTATCAATCATGATTTTCTTGCATTCAACTTATGTTTAAGTCATTATCATGATACTTAGAAGGTTGCACTCTTAATCTGTTTTTTTTTCAGAAGATAGTTTTGGTTGAGTGAGATGTAGCTATAAAATGTAGTTATTTTACAAATTGTTATCAAATTTTAAGGAAGTCATAATAATTTCAGTAAAATTTATGTTAATTACTATATTCATAACTGTTTGATCTCAATATGTTATCTTATTGAATCTCAACTGAGCAATTATGGATGTTATCGTTCATTACTGAATGCGTCCCTGAAAAAGATGTTAAAAATAGATGGATCGAAATGAAGCATAAAAAGTAAGATAATAGAAATTCTAAATGAATAATTTTATGGATTGATAGGTGTTAGCATCAATAGATGGTGTTCATTGACACTAACTTGTCACTGTGATATATCAATCATATTATTCCTCTTTGATGTTTTCACTTTGATCTGTCAGTCATTGACCGCCTTGTTTTCTTTTCTCTAACCAGTTCCGTTGTTGCTTATTATCTTCATCGGCAGTTGCCATCTTTATTAATGAAACATCATTATCCTTATTATTAATGTTATTTATAGCAACATTAATATACACGTAATCTGTTTCCGTCCCCCCACGGGGCGGCGGAGCGTCATTAAACTAGGTGAGGCTCGTAAGATTTTTTTTTCCAATGTGGAATTTTATGAAAGCATCAAACAGAAAATAAGTCTTCTTTGTATTGAACTTCAGCAAAAATAAAAATGGTCAGTATAAAAAAGAAGATTGGAAAATACCAAAATATACTTTTCTTTGCTCCTACTTTGATGCAAGAATAAAAATAGCAATAATCAGTACAAAAGCAAGTGAGGCTGAGCCTCATGGGTCTCAGTGACTCCGACGTCACTGTCGTCCCCAATCCTTAGTTCATCCTGATTATGCCCAGCAAGTACGTGTAAGCCGCTTTAAAGTGAACTCTCATTACCTGAAGGTAGATATCTTTTCCGCAAAGATATATTATAATTTAGCCTACGTGATACACGGAGGATAAAGTCTTATTGGAAGTCTCACAATAGGCAATTTCAACCATTTGTTGCGTAATTATTAGCATAACTTTATATGCACGATAATTGTAATAAAAATTCGCTCAGTATTCATTGTGGAAAAAATGTATGTTTTTCGTGCTGTAAATAATACAAATTAAATCGACAGATAAAAAAACTAAACATTTAATTGCTTGTCATGTCACCAGATTCCATTTCAGTTGAAAAGAGCTATCATTTGAAAAACTTTTATAATCCGTTCTTAATTTGATTTGGATCTTGACTGCAGTTCTATGCAAATTTTAAGTAATTAGAATTGGCTTTTCTTTCTAAACAATTAAACATTCCCGTCACGTCAACCATCTGTCTAAATAAAGCAAATGTTGCATAAATTCCATGAAAATCATTATAGACAACTTCTTTTGAAAGTCGGTTCAATGTGATATTTCTTCTACAAATAGAATAATGTCATGGATATGATTTTTTTGAAACTTTCTATGTAGTATTTCTTATTTGCGTGTTCTTTATTTTCTTGATGTGAAAGACAACACGAATTTTATTAAAGGGCAAATTATATAGCCCATCGCAAATTTAATCAATTATACAAAGATGTGTGCACTTTAGCATAAGCCATGAATGTGCTGGTAGCAATATCAGATCATTAATTATTTAATATAAATAATCTAATTATATGAATTAAGAATATAATTAAAATTGTCTACTGTGTCAATTTGCTTTAATACTAGAAAAATGCAGTAGGTAAGAAAGTCAACTGTTACAGAGAATGAGAGAGAGAGAGAGGAAAATATGAGATGATTTTATTCGTTAGCAAGATTATGTATAGGGAATTGTATTAACATTTTTTACATTAGAGAAGTAGTTCTGTCGCTATCCTCGTCATACATGTCACTACAAAACTTCATCGTTTGACTTATTTCCAATTCATGTCAAACGCAAGCTTATATATGGAGACGTGAATGAATATAGAGCAGAAGGGCCAAACGACAATATATTTCGTTAGGCCAGAAATGATCGTTGAAGAATGACCAGATGTTCTCAATCATAGAGTCGACTGAAGGTAGAGATAATGAATATTCTAATTATTAGCACATCCTTCTATTTATAGTTTCGTTAGAAAAGTTGAAAGTAGAATAACTACATGTTACGACAACGTGTTATCTGGTCTTTAATTAATTTCCTTTTTGAAGAGTATGTCAAGATGTAAAGCACAATAGAGGCTGCTTCCTTTAATTAAACCTTTACTTTATTCTACTTTTAAGCATTTCTGCAAGCAGACCCTCATTATTTTTTGAGTAGTTCTAGACGTGTAGATTCTAACTCATTTCCTCTATAGAATAACTTGAAATTTTAAAACAAACAAGTTCTATTATGTCCTATAAGGTAACATCATACTCGTCCAAACAGAAGAAATTAAATAGGCAAAATTAGAATCCATGAAGAACTACGGAGTATCAAGTACGTCATTTTTTAAATAGTTTTCTGAGGGATATCTCTTTCTAAATACTATGTTATAGAGCGCTACATAAAATAAATTTAACTACTAAAAAAATAGGATTTTCACGAAGAAATCTGCATGTCATACATACAAATTCGCATTATATATTCCAGCTAATACTATTTTGAACTCATTTTTGATAGCAAGATTTACAATGACATGTAATTCAGTCTTTTGAAACGATGAAAGAAATCATGTAACCATGTTAAAGCGTTCAGTGGGTGCAATCGTGTTTTTTTTGTAAAGGGTTCTTCAATATACATGCAAGAAAATGTTTGAACAGTGAAAATAGAACTGAAAATATTTAGTAAGTCTATATGAATGAACATGAACATAGAGTAGTATTTTCGTGAGATAAGGGTTAATAAACATATATAAATTACATTTTCCATAAAATAAATCATTTTACACCCAATCATATACACAAATGCAATGATTATATAACATCCAAGGAATTTTTATATACATCTATTTATATGGATGGCTATGGAAGATGTAGGAAATATGAATAAAATATTCGAGCATCATGGAAACTACATCTTAACAATACGCACACAATGACCAAGATTGCAGAATAAAATTGCTTTCCACGATTGCGAACTTATCGTGATCATAGTTTTCTCAAATATAAGTTTGTTTATATTGAAATGAAAAAAATTCAAAGAAATTCTAGTCATGTTCAAACAATAGCAAGAAGCTTGAAAGAACATAAATAATTAATATGCCTTGACGAATGCGTGAGGATATTGGAAGTGAATAGCTGTAAGGATTAGAATCCAGCATCATTTCTTATATACGTTTGTAACTTAAATCTTTTCAATAGACTAGTGTGTTACATTTATATAAGATAATTTTCAATAAAATCATCAGCATGTTTTTACTTGATATAAAACGACTTAGATGATATTTTGCTACTTACTGCAAATTTTCATAAATAAATGAACATTCTAAACTGTCGTGTGTAATTCAGTATTAGACAACGATTATTCTATCCATCATTTATGATCTCTTCAAATTAGAATTTTTTTTTCTACATCATGCAATACTTGTTAAATATAATCTTTTTAATAAAAAAAGAAAACTTCTGGTTCTGGCATTCCTGCATCAAAGCCAATCCTACTTGAAAATTGTCATTTTTTTTTCTTCGGCAGGATATGCACTGCTCCATAAACATTGTAAAACACAATTTCCTTTCATACGTTTGGAAAAGTTATCCTTTAGAAAAAGTAACTGAATTCAACTAATTTTAAGAGACTCAATTTGAATGTTTCTTCCGACGTTTGTAATTACATGATGAATAGTATGATTTGTTTGAAGTCTTCCTAAAATTTCCTTCTGTTAAAAAAAACACTTCTAGTTTGAACAATAATTATACGGTATTCACTATATAAAGCTCTTTCCTCGCCAGATACTACAACATTATCATAGAAACAAACAGTTTATACTAGACCTGTACACATCAGCGTATTCTTTCTTTTTTTAAATATAACTCCCCTTCATTTATTTAGATTTAATATTGATATACAAAATTAAAGAGAGACGTTTTTTTCTCTATTCTATTAAATAATGATGGCAAACATAAATGATATCGAAAAAGTAAGTGATACAAATAAAAATAAAAAGCCAACACATGTTTCAATGATTAGATTGTTATTCCAACGGAAGGTGTTGGATCAGTACCTCGTACTGATGATTTAATGATAGCTCAGCGCAACTATCATGATGGAAGAATTAATCTTGATCGCTTAAATGATTATTATAAAAGAGCTACGCAACTAACTATCGAAGAACTGGAGAATACAGGATCGCCAGTAATGACAGATGGTGAACAAACAAAACCTTCATTTTTAACTTATCCAATTTTTGCTATGTTTAACGAATATTATCAATTTACATCAGATTGTTTTTCGCTTAAGTTTGCAGATGGACATCAAAGGTTATTACCACGCTTGATTAAAGCTCCATTTCGGTATGCTATATATGCTCACAGTTATGTTGATGCTGCAAAACAAATTACTCAATTACCAATTAAGTAAGCATCGAAAGAATATATTTATTAATTGCAATTTTATTGCATATAACTAGACAAGCAGTAATTACACCATCGGCCTTATCAATGATTTATCCAAAAGCTACTATACGAGGTTATTCTCATGAGCAGTTTTTGAATGATTTGATTGATGAATCTGAAAGAGACATTCGGCTATGTTTGGATAGTGGCGCTTATTGTGTTCAACTTGATTTTACTGAGGCTCGTTTCTCACTCAAACTTGATCCAACTGGTCAATTATTACGTGATTTTGTTCAAATCAATAATCAAGTATTGGATCGATTTGGATTTCACGAACAACATCGACTTGGTGTTCATGTTTGTCCAGGTTTGGAACAGTTTACATCGGTACACTATAATTGTTTCTTCCTATAAATATCTCGTTCTAGGTGGAGATCTAGATTGTTATCATTCGTTTGATGTTGACTATCTACAAGTTCTACCAACTCTATTCGAATTGCATGTCAGTAATTTTTATCTACAACTAGCAAGTGAACCAAATCACGAACGGGTCTTAGTATGTATTCGTAAGTATATGAAACCATGGCATCGAATTTTTGTTGGCGTTATCAATCCAATAGATCCGATTGTGGAAACACCAGAACAAGTGTGTGCTAGAGTTTTAGAAGCAGCAAAATACATACCGGTAGAACAATTGGGTACGACTGATGATTGTGGTTTTTCTCCATTTGATGATGATCAATCGACTTCAAGAAAAATTGCTTTTGATAAGATTCGAGCAAGAGTTCAAGGCACACACATGGCTGAAGATCAACTAATGATGAGAAAATTGAAACACCTGTGACAATGCTACACTAACTATTATTAAATAAAAGCTTATCTAATCTCAACATTTAAAAATAAATATTACTTAGAAATAAAAATACTTTTCATTGTATGCTAATATAACTTTGGAGTTTTACACAATTTACATCGTTGGATAGGGATGTACCGAGACCGAGAGTCTCGGTGTCTCGGTTGTCTCGGTCATGATCTTGATATTAACTAGTTTCAGTATCCGTTTCAGAACCTTGTTCATGAGACGAGTATGAAAATCGATCTATCCATAAAAACATCGTAAATATCAGCAGCCTTATGTGTATTATACTGTCCTCATTTGTTAAAAACGCAGCGTTTTATGACGATTATAGTTTAAAATGGTAAACACCATTCTTCAAAGTTCATAAAGACTTGCTTAATCTACGTCAATGTGTCGATCTCAAAGTGTGTTAACTCAGTCTCTGCTTTTCTAAATTAGATATAGAAAATTGAGGATGTTTGTCCATGGAAATGCACGCGGGCAAGGAAATTGTTAACAAAAAAAAAGATTTCCCCCCGTAAATTGGCTGGAAAACGAAGAGAGACTTTTACTGCAATTTAATCATATTGATTTTAACTAATTCCATGCACAAGGAAAACTGTCGATCAGTTGGAAAAATATCCGAGTTTCGACCAATCTTGATGAAATCTTCCAGTTTCTGATTATTTTGACTGCCACAGGAACAGTTTTCGTTTTAGTCGGCCTTTCTGATTATACATACAACTAGATGAAATAAAGCGGAGAAATTCGTAACAGAGACAGAAACGCAGCGCGCAATTGGGGCGGGGCGGGTAGAGATTCTGGCGAGTAAAAATATGGCGGGGCGGGGTGGGGGAGAAGTTACAACGAGGCGGACAGGTTTTCACGGGGTGAGGCGGGTTACGGTAAATACCCGAATTTTCCCTGCAGCACAGTTTCATAAAATAAACACTCATATAAGCATCAACAATAAACTTGAATAATGGAAATATATATGTTTTATGATAGATTTCTCTATGTTACGAGGCTGTATCTTTTCAATACTTTCGAAACTAATTCGATGAGTTGTCATTTTCACAAACTCTTCTGATGATTCATAACATATTAGAAAGCACAATAAATCAGTCTTATTCTTTTTATTCTCAAGTTTTATGCTAATAATATATCAACCAGTTATCTTTCGTAATATGTAGCCAAATAAATCATATGTTAAAGAAATAAATATATTGTTTAAAGGCTAGAACACATTCTAAATAGAAAATGTTTCCTTGGAAACCCAGGATATTAGGTTTCGGATCATTTAAAAAGTTAAATAGGTTTCCAGGCTGATTCCGGACAAAGACTGGATACTGAGTACAATTACTCAGTATTTTCGTACTTTTTACTGAAAAATCGTAAGTACAAAGTATACTTTAGAAGTACAGGTAAATTTACTTGTACTTTTCGAATGTACTTAAGTACCGGTACTCAGTACAAATGTACTTAAGTAATTGTACTTGAGTAAAAGTCCAAAGTACAATTAGCAAGTAACAAGTATTTTCACTTGTATTTGCTATACTTGTAATTGTCCAGTCTCTGATTCCGGAAACCTGAATATGTTTCCGAGCTGATATTGGATGCGTTTAAAAGGTTCTCGAGGCAAAAACTGGGGTTTCGAGCTTCCGATACTTCAAAAACATTTTTATACCGATAAACCTGCAAACGCCGAAGGGCTTCCGAAAAGTGACAGAGTTTCTATATTTTAAGAAACGGGTCATTTTTTCCGGTAGCCCATCAGCATTTCCGGGTTTTGTCACTATATGAAACGCTTTGATGGCTTCCGACGCTCGAAAGCCTATTTTATCGTTCCTAGAACCTTTTAAAACTTTTCATGATCACTCCGGAAACGTATTCAGGTTTCTGGAATCAATCTGTAAACCTTTTTTCCTGGGTTCCAGAGAAAAGGATTATTATCTAGAGTGTAGGCATCAAAGAAACAAAAGTTCAGACTAGGGACTGGGCGAGGCTGGGGATCAAAAACTATCCCCGTTTCGGTCTCTGGTTCGTAATAGAATCTTCGTTGAGTTTTATAGGTTATTTACGGAGGGAAATCATTTTTTTCGTTAATAATTTGCTTGCCCGCGTGCATCTCCATGGACAAACATCCTCAATTTTCTATATCTAATTTATAAAATAGAGGCTGAGTTAACACACATTGAGATCGACACACACTGACGTAGATTAAGCAAGTCTTTATTAACTTTGAAGAATGGTGCTTACCATTTTAAACTATAATCGTCATAAAACGCCGCGTTTTTAACAAATGAGGACAGCATAATACACATAAGGCTGCTGATATTTACGATGTTTTTATGGATAGATCGATTTTCATACTCGTCTCATGAACAAGGTTCTGAAACGGATACTGAAACTAGTTAATATCAAGATCATGACCGAGACAACCGAGACACCGAGAGTCTCGCCGAGACGACCGAGATCGAGACGAGCGAGACCGAGACTCTCGGTTTTGTCTCGGTCTCGGTACGTCCAACGACTTTGGATGATCTCAAAGAAGAAGAAAAATAATCATTAGCAACAAATTTTAATTATTCAATTTGCCATAATTGACTTAATACATAAATAATATCATCACTTCATTTATTCTGATATTCCGAAAAAGCATTTTCTGAAAAAGGATAGCAAAGTATAGTCGACGTCTCTCAAAAGAATTATGTCATTAAAATCCGATGAATAATTGAGCGTTATAGAAAGCTTCCTATTTTTATTATTGTATAATATGATGCATTAGAGAAGATATTCATATTTCTTCTTCTCTATGAATTTGTATCATTTTAATTGAAATTCATTAATTGACATTGAAAGGATAAAAAGTTTCAATGCAGCCAATATAAATTATTAGAAAATAAGTTTTAAGATAGTTTCACCTAGTCTACACAATTGGAACGCAAACAACTGATGTTCTAATGTTTCGGTACTCGTTTCAAATTGTATTTTCTGTCAATTATATCACTTTTAAAGAAAGTGAGCAAAATTTATAATAGTTAATTTCTCATTGTATTCAGTAATCGTTGAGCAGGAAACATATATACATTTTTTATATATATCAAGCATGTCGTCATAATTTTATGTAATAGTTTACTATTAGTTTTCATTTGAAAATTTGAAATTTTATGTTAAATTCATTTTCTCATTCAAACTTTCTGTTGTTTACTTAATAAAATTATTAGACGCATTAACAGCTTCTGTATTGTAATGGTGTTGCACTATACGCTTTACTTCTTTGGTTTTTTGTTGTTGCTTTAATTGTGCTGTAAATTTTGATTATTTCAAGCTTCTCATTGTTACTCATCAGAAGAGTTTCAATTCATCAAAAATATGAAAAATTACAATCGATACATGAGAAAATAGCTCGATACCTGATATTTTCTAGAAGATATTATATTATAGCTGGCACCTCTATTTTTCTATAACATAACATATTAATATGCTTGCAAAATCTGTTTCGTTTCAACAAAGCAAATATTTTTTTCATTTTTTCTCTATACGTATTTATAAACGTTTTCTTGATCGTACAAACGAGCATTTCAACTTGACTTTCATTCTCTATATTTAATTATCTTTGGTGTTTAAAAGAACATGACAGAACTTCTTTGTGTCGAACTTAAGCATTTTTATTTATAAATAAATCAATCGTTTTGTCATTAGAACATTATTTCATTGGAATATTTGGAAACATTGAACTTTGAATCTTTGTTCACCCTATAGAAAGTCACAATATAAAAATAAGAGTTCTGTCAAGTTCTATGTGCTGATTCTGATATGGAATTTCATCTAAATAAAATTAGGTATATATAGTACAGACTAATAGTCAACATCGAATTGCTTAAAAAAACATCTTGATATCGATTTCCTTGAATAACTTGCAGATATATCATATTATAGTGCTACAAATTTGATGCTATCTCAATATAATCAGAATCAAATCGACTTTTAAAATGAGCGAAAGAGAGAATCGCGATGAAATATAAATCAGTTATTATACTAAAGAACTATATGCTTAAGAAAATGTAACTCTTTAATAAAATCATAATAAGAAACATAGAAAAACTAATTTAAAATCATGTATAATATCGATACAATCAGCTAAATATGAAAATTAGAACTTCTCCTAATCATTAAAATTTATCTACTTCACAGATTTAAGAATAGTATCATTAATTGAATTAGTTTTCAATGTTATTTTCTTATAATAAACCATTTTATCTCGCCAGAATGTGTCTATTAAAATGTGAATAGAAGCAACACATATTCAGTGAAAAATAATCACCGAAAAAAAGGTGTAGAACGCGTTCCAATTTCAGAGAAAACGTTTTTTTTTGACAATTGGAAACTGTTCCAAAATTCCCAGGTCGATGATTCCGTTCTCCAGATCCTTCCGGAACTGGTCTGAAAACTGCTTCTTTCCGGTGATTTCTCACCAGTTCCCTAGTCTTTCCCGCCGGATCCTGCAGGAAAAACAATAGGAAGTGGAAACACCATTTCACCCGGAAAAAACCGTTCCCTGAATCCTTAACTTCCTCGCAAATCCAGTCATAGGAAACTATAAGGAACATACAATGATCCTAGAGGAACAGGGAGGAGAAAATCATGAATGCCAGCGGAAACCTTCACATCCAAAACGGAAAAGCAGTAGATACTGGTGGGACAAACCGGAAGCACAACGGAACCCACGATTCTGTATCCTGAAACAAATATGGAAGATCTACGAAGATCACTAGAGATCTTTATTGCGACTACCTTAGTTATAGGATATTTCTGTGATTAGAAGATCCAGATCGATAGAAAATCATATTCTAAGATCTTTCTGCGAAGAAACGCTGCAATTCGAGCTTGATTTAATTCCGAAATCATGATTTTACTCATAAAGACCTTTGAAGGTGATTTGTTCTATTTATCTTAAGTAGATGATATTCTGCTGATGGAGAGTACGACACTGATTGTAAATGTTGCTCAAGGAAGATCTATAACAAGTCCAAAGTCCTATGTCGATTCTTGTTTTCAATTATCATCGATTAATATTAGAAATGAAGGTTGGAATGATTTTGAGAAAATTTTGGTATAAAAACAAGTAAGCGAAGTGTTACCTGTGACTTATCTGAACAGGTGTGTTGCGCATCTGGGGTTGGAATTTTGAATGCTCACTCATGTGAATAGATTGGTGATCTTTAGGGTGCTCATGTATCGCTAGGTCAGTTTGAAGAGTCTCAGGCAATCTTGAATACACTTTACTAGTAGCTGCATGGACGAGTGGATGAACTTCTAAGTATCGAACACGCGTGTATATATATATATATATATATAGGTGGAGATCGACTGCTATGCAGTCTGAAGACTGTTTTAGTATTGCAATACTTGTTTTTTGAGCGCTCTAGTTTTTGACATATCTAACTCGGTTGGATTCGGAGAGAATGGTCTTTCTGCTCCAGTGCCTGCTTGCCACCTTCCGTTCGTATCTGTGACAGGTGTGCTTGAAGATCTTTAAAATGATAAGATTTGAATATTTTGTCGTTTTTCTTCTATGAGATATTTTTGAACTCTGGCAATTAAATTAATTTAAATCAGCTCAGTAGTGGTTCCGTTGACCTAATTATCGAGCATTGTCGCGTGGGATTATCTGAGCTAAATAATATCTTCGAATTTGAAGACACAATTCAATAGTCTATCGTGGTCTCTACTCGACTATTGCTCTCAGCAGTGGGTTGTGAGTTGTGCAATCTCTTACGCGGTATTTTGTATACAGTCTGCTTGTTCTCGTACTGCTGTTAAGCTCGTACTCCTTAAAACTGCTTTAAAAATGACTATCATGTCCAATTTAGTCCAATGTTCTGAAGATAGCCAAAATTTTTATCAATGCTTGTATGGAATTGTAACTTTTTCTTAATATTCCATACATTTGAACATTGAATATACAATTGTATTCTAGAGATTCTTTTGAGGAACGATCCAATTTGTCGATTGTAAGGTATTAAAGTCATGTAGTTATCAGGAATACGTTTTCGAATAGATCCTATCGTTTTCGGTTGAGGGATTAAACCGTCTAAAGAAAATAAAAACGGTCAGATCTGAGAGTTGCAACCGAATTGCAAACAGAAGGATTATAGTTCGGATCCTGCTCCCGTGAAAAGGCGTCGGAACCCTTCTCAGGGACCTTGCTGGAAACGGTAGCGGAATCCTGGCATTTCATCCGGTTGCAGGAATCAGCAGGAAAGAAGCCGTAAACTGTAGTCGTAACCGGCCACAGAATACTGCTTCAACGTTTTTACCGGAATTTCACTGGAACCAACAGTTTCCCCCCGTATGGTTTAGACCTGGGAAGATATTTTGAGTTTAATTAAAATTCTACTCTATAATTTCATTTTTCCAATATGTTAACAAAATTCTTGTTTATCTAAATTAAGTATTTACGTTCCAGGAGAGCAAAACAAATAGTTACTCATTTTATTGTGAATTTTATTCTAAATTAGTGCTAGTTTTCAGATTTGAAACTAGCTCATAAAATATGTCCAGATATTTTTTCAGTAATAATTAAAGGCTGTATATTTTTTATTTTTGAACTTCTAGGATGACTTGAAAAACGATTAGTCAAACAAAGATTTTTAGATCGACACAGTGCCTTGAATTGTTTTAGAATATCACTAACGAGACAGTAGCTAAAAACCAATAGTGTTGGTTTTGGTCGGATCCGGCAGATTCCCGATCTTCGGATAATAACGCATTCTGTGACCGGAATCCCAGAGAATCCTATCGTCGGAAAGTGTCGAAAATCAAAGGATATTACTGGATTCCGACCACCGGCTACCGGTGGGATCAGACTGTCGGATTATTCGTGGTTCTTGTAGGATCCTATGGGGCACATTTGATCTGGGTAATGTTTTCAACATATTAGTCATTCATTTATTAACAGTGATTCATTTGAAACAAAGTGTAGAATTAAAAACAAGATCCTCATCCATTGTAACAAAACTTTTTTGAGAAGTGAATGTACACTCACACATAGTTAGAAAATAAAATCGTAAAAGCTTATTTCTTTCTGGAACTTTGAGTTCGATAAGTAATTTGATCGATATCAACCCCTCTGCTACCTGGTTTCAATAGCCATATCAAAAATCCATTCTTCAAAAACTTTTTATCCGTCATTATATGATAACCATATTCCTCAGCCAGATGTTTAGCTGTCGCAATAAACTGTTGTCGAACTCCAATACCATATATATTTTTCATTGAGTTTCCTACTTGTTCATAACTTATTCTCCAATGTTCGAAAAAATTGTAAATCATTTCATTTGAACCAGTCATACGATGAATAAAATTCTTTGGTAAAACTTGTTGAAACGATACAATATTAAATCCATCACGAAAGTTTGTACTAAATACTAATGCTTCAATTAATAACGAGTGATCTATTTGTTTACGTATAATATTCGCTACCCAAATACGGCCCCATGGATCTGATGTACCTTCAATTAGAATACCATTCACATTGAGATAATTACATATGAATGCATGAGAATCACGACAATCGGATTCCAAATCATATTGTCTCAATACGTTGAAAGCACGTATTAGATTAACAGTTTCTCTGCGACCAGTGACGGCATTAACTTTCAAGGGTAGATTAAAGCCTCCTTGTCGAAAAAAAGTAAGTTCATCAACAAATCGTTGTGCTTCTCGTACACGTTTATTATCAATTTCGATTCCAAGGATTGGTAATCGAGCATTATACTGTCTAAATCGTTTTGCACTCTCTAATGTAGTGATAGGAGTGTGACCAAAACCAAGATCAACATAAAAATGTTCGTCACTCATAATCAAATAGGGGCAATACATTATTACAAAATGATCTACACGACGTAGACGATTTTGTGCTGTCTTTCCACGAGTTTCTGCTCCAATGGCAACTTTAGAATATTTATTGAACGATATCGAGGCCAGTGACATGAAATTGTATAAGAGATATTTGTATTTGAAGATTTTCTGTAAATTATAATATTATATATAATAGTTTATCTAGCAATATTAAACAAGAAATGTCGATTCCTCTTTTCTTCTATAGGAAGTATTTAGTTTTAAAAATACACTTGCTATTTCCATTGATGCTAAAATCAAAACATAATTGAAGCGAAAAATTTTCCATAAAAAACATAAGCATATGATTGCCCTGAACAGAATTTTGAGTAAAACACTACTTACTTGTCAAGCAAATAATTAGCTAGATGCATTTATTTTAATACTTTTTTTTTGAAATTTATAGTTATTTTCATGGTATAAGTGAATTTCGCAAGAATTCTTTCGACATTACAATTGACAGATTACTTACGAAAACTTTGCATCTTTATATTTTCTTGCGATTGTAAATATATCTTGATATTAATGATGCTATATTCCATGTCAGAATGTAATTTCATCATTTCATTCATTCTGTTTTCGTTAAAGAAACATAAAGCGTCACATTCATTTCACTGAAAGACTAATTCTGTTTTTGCTGTTGTTGTCTTCGTCTGATCCAAAAATAAATCTATAATCAGTGGTTCTTATTTTTATTCTCATATATGAACCTATAAGAAAATCACGTATTAAACTTTAACATTAAAACTAATCTTTAGAACGTTGTTTTTCTATTCAATAGATTCTCTTATTGTGTAAAAACTTGTTTCTGCTATCAAGTTAGAATTTCTATTTACCAATATGATAGAACAAAAATAATAATCGCCAACACGATTTTCTTTCGTTTGCTTTGTGTCATATAACATCTTTTACAAGATAGAAAGTACTTTGTTTTTGTAAGAGATTTGATAGCGCCAAAATAAATGTTATATCAAATGAGGTCTTATCTAAAATAGAATTTATTTCTAAGATAGACTTTTAAGAATGATAAGCAAGTCATAGACTGTTTCATAGTATATATAATTAATTTAAACCAAATAAGATAAGCATTCGTCAATGTAGCTCAATGAAATATGTTTTCATCACCCTAGTCGAACTCTTTTTTGCAAGCGCATGCAATTCTTGACTTTCTTGAGCAAGAAAGTCATACACTATGGACACATCTTGAGCTCAAGTCTTGGCAAGCGCATGAATAAACAAGTTCGACTAGGGCAATACATGATACAATCGTTTATCAGCTTTTTAACTATTTCTGGTCTTCATTGTCGAAAGTCGAGATGAATAAATCATAGAAGAGTTTCCACCAGTTCATCATTGCTTTCCATATTAGCCAAGTCAATATTATTCTCACAATTGAGTGGAATAGAGATGAAGTCCTGATATCGTTACCACGCTGATAGATGTGGTTATTCTCAAACAAATGATTGGTCAAATTAATATACAAATACAATACAATACTATGAATTTTAAATGTTACAGTGATGTCTATATTAATAACTGCTAGTGCAGATTGAATTGAAGATATTCAAACTTCTCCATGTTCATATATAAATATATATCTTCGGCTTGCTTCGAAAGTTATGTAAAAATCTCAAAGAATATTATGCGTTATTCTTTTAGTTGAAACCAGAGAAGTAAGAATTTGAATATTATCTAGATATGCTTTGCTATTCATCAGATAAGTTCCGATATTGACATACCATAAAATGTCTTGATGAATCTATTCTTTCAAAAGGGCTCTCTATATTCAAACTGATTCTTTTTTCTATATTACATGTGAAGATCTGAGAAATACCATTGTACTCGAGTTCATATTTCATATTCTATATATAGTTGTAAACTAATCCCTACCATGGCAATACTATCATTAAAAGCTGATCATATCACATTTATTAAAACATTCCTAGAATGTTATCCTGATAATTTTCTCGTCTACTCAACGTGTGAACTAAAATATGTTAATATAGTAGAAGACATTAACCATTTCGAAATAAATGAGATAGATATCTCGGTAACATGCAACTGTTTGGCAACAAGGAAGGATACATGACATTTTTTGGGACTGTGCATCTCAAGCAAAGAAGTGCAACAGATCGAAAAGACGAACTTTTTACTTTTTTCTAATGATGATAAATCTGTTTTATCACTACTGTGACGTCTAAGAGCGAATACAGAGAAAAAAAACAAGCCAGAATCAACACCACACGCAACTAGATCATATTCTCTACTGAATATGTATCACATATGTCATTGATTGGAACAGTATAGTAATAATTACTCTACTATAACAGTTGAAAATTTTCGATAGTTCAATTAGATGATAGTTGCACCATTTCGTACGATCAAACTTACTGGATCAAAAAAGAACATTCAATATCTATAGTATTTCAAAACCAATTCATCCCGTTTTTTAGATTTTCAATTCTTGTTCCGATTGCTAATATGATCGTGGATACATTTATCAACCCGATGGAATTATTCCATAATAGTCATCAACAGATACCTTTCATCAATGAAAGTATTCATTTGAATTCTATCTTGGTCATAGTTGATGTATGACAACCATCGTTCTAGCCAGTTTTGTATAAATGAATTCGAATTCATATCTGTACTTAAGCTTTAGATTTTATAAATACTGATAGTAGTTCTACTTGAATATAGCTAAGTGTCAATAAAATCAGAGAAAATCTATTCTATTGAATTTTATGGACCACACTCAATTTATGTTTCATATTAAGAAATATATATAAACACATAAATATCTAATTTCATGACTTCTAGAATACAAGTTCCTATTATTGCTATGTGATGAGAGAAAATTCTATACGAAAGATTAGTATTGTGTGCAGGTAAAACAAGGTTTCATGTTTGATCTTTGTTCAATGACAATTGAGTACAAGTATTTTTTCAAATGAATCTTTTAAAGTACGTGTACGTAGACATTCGATTTATGATGTGGGCTTCTCATAATTCTAAGCATAAATGCGAACATCAAACAATTTCTAGATTGAAAAAGCAAAGACAATAAAATACCATTGGTGTATGAGTTAAAACGATGAAAAAAATATCTCTAATTTCCAAAAGAAAAAAGAGTTACCACCATTTATGTTAACTTTACCTCAAAGCAACTGAGCAGTGTCCTAATACTATCGCATATGATGGGCACTTCGACGAATGCAGTTAGTATGAGCTATACTGATGCGTTTGTGACTGATTCATTGTCCTTTTATTTAATGAGAATCACCTTGTTTACACTAAACTCTTTGTCTATTTATTATAGGGTAAACCTATTGAGAAAGCTATTGTCGAATGATTTTTTCCTTCCTTAAATAGATAGATATTGCAACATAGACAAAAAGTAAGTGATTTTTGTTCGAAAGCAACAACATTCTATGCATTTTTATTTATTATCGCTTTTATTGTTTGCTGTATTGTTATTATTATTATTATTATTATTATTATTGTCATTAATGTTCTTTTTTTTTACGTAAGACAATGTTTAATCGTATACATCTCACGTTTGTTATTTAATTAAAATTGTTCATAAAATTGTAAAAACCTAATAACGATCTCTCTTACGTCAACATTCATAGTTATTTTAAATAAATGGTATATGAAAACGAACTTTAGCTTTTCATACATTGAGTTCATAATGATTTGAATCAACAGGAACCATTCAAACTTACAAATTATGCAAATGTATTCTAGATTTGAAACAAAAACAAAAGAAATCTTCTCTTATAATCTCATTCAATTAACGATTATCTTGATAATATGTTATGAGAAACAACGTAAATATGAAAAGTCAATGCATATTTTATTGATAAAGTATTGCTTCATTAAACAGGATACTTATTCTTAATCCAAAATCAATATGATTTAGAACATAATTATGTATTTCTATCCGATGAATTCACCACAAATTATACGTAGCTTTTAATATATTTAATTTAAGTATCTATTTGTTCTAAAAGTTAGTTGTTTTATTTTTTTTAACTACAAGTAGATGTTGCTTCACTAGTAAAACAAAACTATCGAAAGAAATTAAGTGATGAAAACTTAGCAAATAGATAGACGAATGAAAGTATTTTATCGAGTGGAAGATATCTAGCTGCATAGTATATTCTATTTTTCTTAAATAAATTTTGTATCGATCAGAAACTTTTAGCTCGAAGTTTCACAGCAAGGATATGAACAATAAATAGAGTGAAAATGCACACTTTTACTTATTTTATAGTTCAATGGTTCACTGATAAATTTATCTGCCAAAACCTTTTGATTAGAATGCTTAATGAAAATCCATGTTTCTAACAAGAGGCACTAAATAATTAGCTCTCTATTATTGTTTTCGCCTATATCGCAGTTGATGAACTGTATACTCAACAAATTATTTAAGTGATTACTTCCTGAAAAGATAGTTATTGTTTGCTTTTTATCAATTTTTTTCTTTATTTTAAACTAGATCAATATAGAATGGTAAGTTACTTGAGTATTTTTATGCATAGTTTAGATATAACTAAAAAGTCATTTTTTGAACTTATCTTTATCATGCAAGAATTTTCCGCTTTCGTGAACCTAACAATGAACTAAACCAAAGTCAAAAAAATATATCAGCAAACGAATATAATTTAAACAATGATACCCTTTTTATCAACTAAAAAGTGATCCAACAAACCGATGATTTTATTGCAATACACTGACAAAAGTAAAATGAACGAAATATCGCAATGAATTGATAGATATGAAGTATCATAACAAGTAGCATAGTACTCACTAAAATATCATTTATGACAATAGTAACATAAATGATCTTCTTGACACTGAAACACTTCGATGAAATATAGGTTTCCGATTAAAAATAAACATAAAAAAAAGAAAGACATGATTTACTATACTCACATACTTGATGATTAATGCAAGTATGTACTCATGGAAATATTAGTTTGATGAAGGGTTTTCTGATCTACAACGCATTTATTTCCTTTGAATGTAACCGATATAAATCGTACACTTTGTCGAGAAGATAAGCTAATGTCTTCATTGATGCATCGACGTTATTCTTCCTATTGAATCCTTCCATATCTGATATTATTCTAAGATAAATTCCAATGTACTCTGTGTTAACAAAATGCACTCTTGAAAAATGATTCGATGATATCCTATGTTCGTGGTTATCCTTGAACTCAAAAAAAATTCATTAAAAGAAATATTTTGTTTTGTCGGTGCTGATTTTTAAGAAATAAAATAATTTCAATTCAGTCCTCAAAATACGAATGAAACTGAGACGTACCAATGACGCAACTTTTTTTCTACAACAATCGATGTCAAAAAATTATATGAACTTTCTCAGAGAAACAAAATATATACATATCAAGCAGACAATTCATTGAAACATTGGTTTTATTTTTGGTTTAATAATAAATATAAAAGAATAATGATCAAGTTGAACATGTATTAATTTGTTTGATATTACAAATACATGCTTTACCCGAAATATAGTTCATTACAAAGCAAAAATTCTCTTTATAAATATTCCAAGATAATAAAACTATATATTCATATAGAGAAAAAAAATTCGGACACACATAAAAATGCGATTATTCATATCACAGTTGTTTTTTGATTTGCATAAGTTCATTCTCTCTCCAACATGAGAACATTCATACTTATAGATTGAGTGACAGTTGCATAAACTAGAATCAAACCAAAGAAGAATTTTACACTAAATAAAATAATAAATTCTGTCTACTAACTTCGTCGATTGAAAATGAACAAATATTTCTCGGAGAATCGTTTGTTGACTTTTGTTGCATTAAATCTACAATAAAATTTTGATAGTTTTTTTCTTATCTCCTTTGTTCGAACATACTATTGAGTAAAGTCAATCGAGCACATAATTGAACATAATGTTCAAATGAAATCTTTGCTAATGAATTGTCATCAGCACGTGTAGAATATCGTTTTATAATTATTTCAAGTGTTGACGGTGATAAATTAAATCCTATAAAATTCACAATAAAAAGAAAAAACGAATCCATATGAATAAAAATCTGTTATATTTACGTAAAGAATTAAGTATGTTAACAAGCGCATATGGTTCAATGATGCCATTTCGATCAAGATCGTGACGACGAAAAAAGTTTCTCCATGTATAAAGAAGATTTACTACAGAAACAAATTCTGGCAAACTCAATGTATTTTTTGACTAAAAGAAATTTAAAAGAAATTCAATATTAACTATTTACGGTAAAATCTTACGTGAACTACAGCTGATATTAATAATTTGCAATGATCAATAGTGAATTTTGAATGTCGATCAAATGAGCGAGATAATTCTGTGTCATTAAGTAAAATAAGTAAATCATTTTCATCAATTTCACTCTGTTGTTTTTGTAAAATTAAAATAGAAGTCAATCATTCAACGTTATCAAATATTTTACTTTTAAACGACTTTCAAATATTTGTTGAAGAAAACTATTTGAAGATAATGATGATTGATCATTGGCATTCTAAATGAAAAGCATCAGAGAGTAAGAATTAAGATAATATCTACACACCTGTCTTTGTATTGGCATAATGTTAGCTGCTTTTATTTTAAATAATATTTCTGACAGTAACCGTGTCAATCAATACATGAATTTTATTACCATGGCGATAATTATCTGAGAATAGCGAAGATATTATGCGAATGAGTTTTTGCAGAGATCAAAGATTAATTTCTGTAGTTGTGTTTTTGTCATGGAAAAATAATTAATTTTTATTTTTCAATGAGAATCATGATGGAGGCAATAGGAACAAAATGGCAGGACCAACCGAATCAACAGAATGGTCGATCAACGAAATAACAGAAGAAGAGAAGGAAATTTTCGTTATTTTTTTAGTGACTAACAAAATGCAAAACTTTTCTGTTATGTTACACAAATTTATTGATTCGTAATTAATTGTATCGTAGGGCCACGTTTCGTGTTTCCATGTACGCAGAAAAAGAAAATTCATTCATTCGTTCGTTCATTCAAAAGTTTATCCAATTTCAATATTAATTTAAGCAATGATTCGTTTAGATACGAACTTTAACTATTGTAGATAAACAATAAAAATAATTCGATCTTAGTTTATCAAACATGTCGAATAACTCTTCTATATTTACAAGTACTCAAACATCGACTAAGCTTCAAACAGCAACAATATTTTATGATGATCGTTTATTTTTACATACAATTGCTTGTCAAGCTATTGCTGGAGCATTCACTTGGGCAGCTATTCTTATCACTAGTTATCATGTAAAAGACAAGAAAAAAATCAACAACTTATTTCTTCTTTTTTTTACTTTTTTAAAATTTTATTATTTAGATCTATCTCCACTTACGACATTATAATGTGCCGTCTGAACAAAAATGGATTGTTCGTCTTCTATTTATAGTACCTATTTATTCATTTGTATCATGGCTTAGTTTAATTCTTTTTACAAATGATTCTTACTACGTCTATTTTCATGCTGTACGAGATTGTTATGAAGGTTTGTTAACTTGAAGAAGAATAGAATTAATTTTTGTATAAAAAAAATTCGAATTTTCCGTTTTCAGCATTCGTCATTTATAGTTTTCTTTCGCTTTGCTATGAATATTTGGGTGGTGAAGGAGCTATTATGGCAGAAATTCGTGGCAAACACATTGAGTAAGTAACCAAATTAAAAGTCTTCAAAGTAAATAAAACATTTTCTTCTAGACGACGTTGGCGGACATGCACATGCTGCATGTCCAATCGTGAGTATACCATTGGATTTTTAAGATTTTGTAAACAAGTAAAATAATAAAAACAAAATATTTAATTTAAAATAAAAATAATATTTTTCAGGCAACACTTCAATTTTGTTTGGTAAAACCTTTAATGTCCATAGTAATACTTGTTTTACAAGCATTTGGTAAATATAAAGATGGAGATTTTTCAATAACAGGCGGCTATCTTTATATAACATTGGTTTATAATGTTACTATTTCGCTTGCGCTTTATGGCCTATTTTTATTCTACGAAGCAACTAAACATATTTTAGCTAAATATGAACCTGTTTTGAAATTTTTAACAGTTAAATCAGTTATTTTTTTAACATTTTGGCAGGGTAAATGAAATTTTATTTGTTTTGAAATTATTAAAGTCGTTTATCTTAGGAGTACTTTTGGCTATTTTTGAAGAATTTGGAATTATTCAAGCATTTCAAGGAAAAACAAATTTAAGTGTTGGTACTGTTGCTGCTGGTAATTGATTGCTATTCTGACGTTTTAACTTTGTAAAATTATTTTTGTTTTCATTTATAAAAGGTTGGCAAAACTTTTTTATTTGCATTGAAATGTGTTTAGCTTCTATTGCTTTGCGTTTCGCTTTTCCACATGAAACTTATATGATACGTGAAAATTATGTTGAATCTTCGACTACAAATTCTGCGCAAGGAGGAACAACAAGTGGTAATACTCCAATAGTAACAATGCAAAGTATTTCAAATAATCTTCGAGAAACAATGAATCCAAAAGATATTATGCATGGTAAACAAAAATAATCTTTCAAAAACAAAACAAAAATAGAAAATTTTTTAAATGCTTGCTTTTTTTAAGATGCAATTCATAATTTTCATCCACAATATAGAGATTATACACAATATAATGCACAAGTATGATCTTTTATTTTTACTTTTTGTCTGTTTGCTTACATAAATTAATAAATCTATCTATCTACCAGGCAACTCATTTGGACACAGAAGTACCTTCTGTGATTTTTCAGCTACCTCGGGTATATCTAAGCTTTTCTATTTTCTTTCTGGTGTCAGCAACTACTATTTCTTGGACTAATGCTTTTTATTTTCGATATGATTTTTATATTGTTATTATTAATTTTCGATGATTCTTCTCTTTAGATAACCGATGATCGAGCATCCGTTGTTTCATCTACAAATGTGAATCCATATTCAGCATCAACTGATGGCCCAGCAACATTGCCTATTGAAACTTCTATTCAACATCCGAATAGTATTTTACAAAATTTTCCAAATAAACTAATACCAAAATTATTAAAAAAGAAAGATGCAGAAAAAGATATGCTGTTAATTAATGATGATGTTTAAGAATTCCTTATTTCTCTAGGATATTCTAGTCATCGATACTGATGATTTCCTCGATTTTTTAATTCTCTATCAAACCACTTTTAAAACTTTGACGCAAAAATCAAAAATAAGATGCAAAGCTTTAACTTAATTTATTTTAATTTCTATTCTACTTTATCTATTCCAATGATAATCATAATTTCTCTGTTTTTTTGTTTTTGTTTGTTGTAACTCGACTTTTCTTATTACTGTTGTGTACAGACATAGCAAACAGCAAGACCAGAATCAATTCATTTATTGCATTTATTATTGAAGTAAAATCAGTTTTATGTAACGTATTACTTGGTGTATATTTTAAAATAAAATACTGATGCATTATTTCTAAGTCTATTTAAATATTTCTATTTCAGATAATGAATTCTTTTGTGTATAATATATTATGTTTTGTGTTAATTTATATCGGTAGTATTCAATTAGAAGCGTCTAGTTTATGTGCTGGTAAAAATGTCACTAGCCAGCCTGTTATTGATTATTGTCATTCGCAACATGGTTATTTCATTTTTCGATGTTGTCGTTCAAATGATAATGAAACATTTGTGGCTATTGATTTGATGGACCTAAATTTAACTCAAGTTCCTGATTTTACACAGTTTGCTAATCTTAATTTAAGTGTAGTTGATCTTCGTTCAAATCCTGAACTAAAACCTTCGAATGACAATGATTTTCTCACTTTAACATATCTTGATCAACTCTTTCTACCGGAAGATTTTCCTTGCCCAGGCGAAGAGAAAGTATGGGAAATAGTTAATCACACAGCTGATCCTATAGGAAATAGTTGTTTGGGTCAAAAAAATTTTTGTATAAATTCAACAGACAAATGTTTTGAAAAAGAATCAACTTGTAATACGAATGGACCTAATCATTTTTTGTGTTTATGTAAAGGTGATTATCATGGTTATAAATGTTTAAGAAATGGAAAATTTCCGGCTATTGCATTTTTTGTTTCAACCATAACTGTAACTGTTCTTCTAAGTTCTTTTCTTTATTGGACGCAACGGCGACATGTTAAATAATAGATTTCAATAAAATTCATGTGATATTTTTTTTTCTGTTTATTTGTCAACAGAGTGCAATTATGAAAATGTTTCATTTGTTTTTTTTTCTTTTGCTATGTTAAATTTAAATTAGATTTTCTATTTTCTTATTCTATGTAGTTAAAAAAAACTGCAATGACTGTAATCCTTGCCTAATTTTTTCCAATTTTTTAAATAAACAATTTTTGATTGAAATAAAATATTTTTTTTTTGTCATAAAGCAAAATAAAAATAAAAATAATAAAAATAATATGTTCATTTGAAATAGGTTCTGCTAATAGAAATTATTTTAATAAACAATCACTGATGACGATGAATTTTTTTCATTTGTCCTCTGTCAAATATTCGGATATATATATCAGTTCTTTGTTATTATTCTATATATCTATCAGTTAGATTTTATTTCATGTATTATCGATATTGTATGAATAATCAAAATATGAAATAAAACATTTGTATATGACTGATCAAGACCAAAGAGATAAGCGTTAATTTTTAACAATTCGAGAATATCAACTATTGCGATTTTGTCAATTTCATAGTTATATACTTAAGATATAGCTATAATAAGAGATGTTTTTGAGTCAAAATAATCACTTATGAGTCACATTTCTATGGTTCGTTCGCTAAATAAATGATTGTCATACGAATGTTTAGATATGTGTGCATCGAACACCTATGATATTTACACTTTGCCCCTTTCTGTTTCTTATGTTGTTTTTCTTTTTTTGCATAGATGTTTTTTTTCTAATTTTTAAAATATAATTATTTTATAGATCAAATAATAGAAATTTGAATTTTTTATTTTGTTTTACTTTATTGAATATTGTTTTAATAAATATGGCTGAAACGACAACTGCAACTAGTAGTATTCCATCGGTTATGCAGGCTGCTCAACAAAGTAATTACGGAGAAATTCGAAGTGTACTAACACTTCATGATGATGTACCCGTACCTCGAAAATTATCATCGAAAGAAATTCTTGTTCGAATTTATGCTGCTTCAATAAATCCAATTGATTGGAAATTATTAAATGGAAATTTATCTCTTATAAGTCGTTTTTCATTTCCTCATATACCAGGTAGCGATATGGCTGGAGTTGTTGTTGATATTGGTTCAGCAGTAAAACGCTTTAAACTCGGAGATGAAGTCTATGGAAATGCTGGAATCAGTGGCGGTAGTTATGCTGAGTATATTTCTGCAAATGAATCAATATTTGCACTGAAACCAAAAAATTTAACTATGGAAGAAGCAGCTGCTGTACCATTAGCTTGTGAAACAAGTTATCAAGCATTATTTAGTAAAGCGTCACCGGCTGTTGGAGCAGGAAGTAAAGTTTTTATTTGTGGTGGCAGTTCAGCAACTGGGTTTTTTGCTATTCAGTTAGCCAAAGCGGTTGGTGCTCAAGTTGCGACAACATGTTCACAAAGAAATTTCAGTCTTTTAGAAAAACTTGGTTTGATTACTTTTTATTAATTGTAAATAATTATTGAATATTTTCTTCTTTTAAAGGTTATAAAATAACACAAAACAAAGACGAAATAAATAATGATCAACAACAACTATTGGTTATTGATTACAATGCAAAAGATTTTGGACAAGAGCTTAGTGGTAAACATTACTTGATGAAAATCTTCTTACGCTATTTCTTTCGATTTTTAAAGGTCAGAATTATGATGTTGTTTATGATTGTGTTGGTGGTGAACAACAATGGATATCAGCACAACAAATATTGAAGCAAGGTGGTCAATTTATTACTATTGTGGGTGATGACACAAAGTCAATTGTTTCAGTAAAATCAATTGCTAGTACTGCCTCAACTGTAATAGGTCGCAAACTAAGCTCAGTTTTTGGTTCAAATCATCATGGTTACGTCATTCATTTTCTCAATCAGGTTCCTGAAGAACTTGATGATATACGAACAAATTATATTGAACCGGGCAAAGTTAAACCATTAATTGATACTATCTACGATTGGCGAAAGGATGGTGTTGAAGCGTTGCATTCACTTTATGAAAAATCGAAAAGTGGAAAAGCACAAGGAAAATTAATTCTCAAAATAGCTAATGAAAAATAAATTAAACTTTCTGTGTTCTTTTTCTGATATTTATTCTATCAGTATTAATTTAATTTCAATAGTCACGCATAAATATTCCAGCTTCTATAGATTAACTTTCTTTTTCTGATGTATTTAGATATTCAGAATAGTGCACAGCACTTATTCTATTGTTAAAAAAAGCAGCAGCTTTAAATACAAATACTGATTAATTTGATAAAAATATTTGTTCAATACAAAGATAATTCTATTGAATCAGAACTTTGCACTTCAGTAATTGTGTTAGCTATTTTATCATGAATGAACTACTTGGTAGCGAGTAGATAGAGTAGAATGAGAGCTGTCATCTTCAAATGTGTAAATTTTATTAGAATGAAATTGCTACAAATACTGTCTATCATCAGTTGTAGAGTAATAGCTTTAAAGGCTGTCATAAAAATACAGCACCTGGATTCACTTTCGTCGATATACAACTGAGCTCGGTTTTTGACGTATCAATTACTGGAAGAAAAACAAAATTTACGAGTGAGTTAATAGAATAATCTGCCGTCGATATAGATTCATCATTTATTACTTTTAACGGCTTAAAAACGACTTTATCATCTGCATTATTTTTGAATTAATCGTGAAATAATAATACTATGTAATATTTTAATGGATTTATATTATTCGAACAGAAACTATATTTTGTTTTCATGATATATATTTAGCGGAAAAAACACAAAGACACTGTCTCGTCCATTAAAATGAATGATTATAATAATGGCTGGGTTGTTTTTATTGACATAAAAAGAATGAGAAAAAAACAAACCACATAAATCTAACTATAAAGAAAGATAAAATAAAGTGAGATCTTTTCTACTTATGATTCGACTTGTCAGCACAATTGTTTTTGGCATTCTCCACTAATCTATCGTCGTAAGAAGAAGAAAAAAGAAAAAAGAAAACAATGTGGCAAAGAAACATGCGGAATATTGAAACAAGAATACTAAAGAAGATTTCCGATACAAGGACAACAGAACGCTCCGGTTAATATTAAAATAAAGCAAATAGAAACAAAGCGTTCGAAGACAATTCAATATTATATACTAACAAACAGCAATGCTACACGCAGGTATTGACGCTCTTTTTGGTCGTAATCGCGATGGTCATCGAACAAGACATATATTTCATTTGCGACGTCGTCATCATAATCATGATCATGATCATAAAGATGAACACTATGATTTATCAAAATTCTTTTTGGAGAAGCCACAGTTGGATAAATTATCAATACATGATTCTACGTTTGCTTTTGGAGCAATGCAAGGATGGCGATCAACCATGGAAGATAAACATAAACATTTAATACCATTTGATAATCATGCATGGAAATCCTGGTCTTATTTTTCAATATTTGATGGACATAATGGTAAGAATAAATGAGTTAAATATATTTATGTAATCATCAAGACGAAAACATTTTGTTTTGAAGGTCTTGATACAGCACAAAATGCATCAGAACAACTGGATATTCATTTATTAAATGAGCTTAATCATATGCTTGATAATCAACATACTAATGTAGCCATACTCGATACTGATGAATCTCGTAGATCATCACAAATTGATCTAGATCAATTGTACACTGCTATTAAACAAACATATTTTGAGTTAGATAAAGATTTACGAAAAATAGTTAAAGATGACAGTGGTTGTGTATGTGTAAGTGTTGAACATAGTTATCGTTTCAAAAAAGAAAGATCTTCAAAATATTTAGATAACATGTCTTATCAGTCCAGAGAAAATATATTTAGTTCATATTGGTGATTCGCGTGGTATTATTATTTCTAATGATGGCTATGTTTTAGCACATACGGATGGTAATTTTTGTTGTTGTTTTTTTCTTTTATTTTAAGTTTAATATTTCTTTCTATGAAATACAATTAGATCATAAACCCGAAGATCTCGCTGAACAAGAACGCATTCGCGAAGCTGGTGGTAAAATATCTAAGTCATTTAATGGTGGTGTCTTACGTGTAGAAAATCAATTAGCTATGACTCGAGTATTAGGAGATTTTGCTATGGATAAACATGTTGTCCCACCTATGGCAGATATTATTGAATATCCTAGAAATTCTTTAGCATCGTTTATTATTTTGGCGTGTGACGGAATTTGGGACGTCATGACAAACGAAGAAGTTGCTTTATTTGTTATACATCGGGCATCAGCAAATAAACTAGAAGATATTGTGTCACAATTATTGGATGAATGTTTACGAAGAAAAAGTACAGATAATATGAGTGTGTATATCGTAAAAGTGTAGATTTCGTGTAAATAATTTTTTTTCCAAAACACTTCAAGAACATTATAAATTCAATCTATCCGAAGACATGCAGATTTTTCTTGAATTAAAAGGACAAATATTATGTTTTTTTTCTTATTATTTTCTTTTTCATATTAACTCCAATGGATGTGTTATTTTCATTCAATACAATATGTGATGCACGGCTCATACTTCTTTCAAATTAAAAGGCTTCTTGTTGTTTTTGCTAAAAAGAAATTTTACTATGCATTAAAAGAATCCGTGTATCATAGAAGATAACTTTCTTTTGAACACAGGAAGGAAAAGACAATGTTGTAGATTCCCTGTGGCAATCAATTCTTTAATGATTTCCGTAGTTTATTAACATGTTGTAGATTACATACACACGTTAAAAGGAAGTTTCAAGATAAAAATAATTTTACTTTCGTACATCGAATATTTCATGGGCTTCCAGTTAGAAAAATTAATTAGACGAAGACGAGAAAAACTTGATAGTTCACTAAAGTAACATCCCTTGGATCGACAAATGTCTCGTGGCACTTAATTATATATTTTTTGAAGCGCCCTGTAAAGATATTGTATAGGCTTTTCTTCAAGAGAAATGCTTTCTTACGATAATTCGACATCAGTCATCTAATCCACATTTCTACAATTTCCACACATGCAGTGATCTTCCTTTAATAGGAGCAGATTTTAGTAAAATCTGTTTATATTTTAGTTAGAATTGTGCTCTATCAAATACATTCCGAAATAAAAGGAATGACTCATACTGCTAAGAATACATTTATCAGAATAGACCTAAAACAGTTCGCAGAAAAACGATCACATATTCTGAACAAGTCGTGTTTTCCTCTAAAAATCTGTCTCGTTGTAGATAGCCATAACCATGCTATGTTAATGAAGCACGAACTACAAGGTGAATTCGATCTTGAAAAATTGCACTGTTAAATAAAAGTTGAAATAAGATATTGTTGATTTTAAAATTTCATTTCTATTTCATTTTAGCTAATTGGCCACATTGAATGAAGCTAAATATTGTAATACATTCTTGATTCTATTGGTTTTAGAAGAAAAAACAGTACCGTAAAAATGTGTATCAAATTTTTATCCTAGCCTAATGTAAGAACTTGCTTCTGGTAATGGATCTGTTTTCTTTCTTGGCTTGGCTTTTTGACTAATATGACATCTATTTTAGTTCTATTATATAAAAGCGACGTGTAGAAAATGAATAAACTCATTAGCTAATGTTCAAATCGGTCAAAGAAAAAAATATTCAATTCATGATCTCTCGTTAAGAGTATGGTAATATTGTAATGATTATTTTGACATATATGATAGGTGGCTTCCATACAATATGTAAATAATAAAATAGAATCGATTTACTAGAGTTCTCTAATGTATTAAAGATTTTGATTAATAACTGTTTCTATTTGAGATCGTGTGCTATCTTTATGACTATGAAGCATTTTTCTCTCAGAAAATAATAGTCTATTTCTTTAACAACAATAAAAACGTACCGTATCAATAAATTACTAGAACATTTTTATTTTAAGAAAAAAAGTACAAAATTAATGATTGATATCTTAGTCTATGGTGAGTAATATTCAAGGCGATGGCTATTTGTATTGAATACGAAACTTGATTTTTGTAACGAATAAATAAAGATTTCAGGTCATTATCTTCATTTTTTAATGAACTATAAAAATGTGATCCTGCGTTGATTCTTTTATGATTATTTTCTTGAGTTAAGATTGTGTATTTTATTCTGAATAAGAATTTATAAAATATTTGATCAAAAATTAGAATATTTATACTGCTATGTAATTGTAGTAAACATACAAACATATCTATATTGAATTTCTTTTCCCATCAACTTTGTTTGTTAAAAATTTCAGCCGTGTCAACATCCGTATTGAATATAAATAATATATAGATGATATAATATGATTTATTGTATTATATAGGTCTGTAATGTTTTGACTAGACATGACAATTATCGATTATCATCGTATTCATTAATAAGATTGAATTTTTCATAGGAAAAACAAGAGAAAAGTAACATAATGTTTGATTCATTCATGTCCAATAGAGCAGAAAATGCTTCACGCTTTGTTTATCGACTAATTCTAACCTTCAAATCGCTATTTGATAGATAGGGAAACGAACTAATAAAGAAAGTAATAGAATGCGGAAGTATAATAACTACGAAGTAGATCCTTGTATTTATCAACAGAATCTAACGATTAGTAATCGAAAACTTTGCAACAAAAGTTCACGCATTATTTTTTATAATGTTGTTTTTTCGATAAAATTATTCATTTATCCTAATATGACAATATTAAATAGATTTATATTCAAAATTAAACTGTCCGATTGTGGAGTAGAAATTATTCATTGACCTGTAAATGAATTCATTTTTTCGAAGTCTTGTTTATTATATTGCCCTTCAAGGAATCACTTTCCAGCGGACGATTGATTGTGAAATAGTTTTTGAAAGGTTTCAATGACAGAGCAATCAATTAACTTGGCTACTCGTGGATAGATGATTTTGAACAAGCCTCAAACGATAGACAGTAGTATTTATGATTTAAAATTTAACAAGTAAAATAATCACAAGATGCATTTGTTTACATGTAACTAATAGAATTTTAACTTAAGAATAACAATGAAATTTATCAGATATAAATGACATGTATAAAATGCATCACTTGAAAGGATCATTATTCATTTGTCAAATGTTCAAAAATGCGATAGACACACACAATAAATAATGCATTGAGAGATCGAACATTTTAACTAAAAATCCATATTAGTTTTTTCAAATCTATGTTTCGATCAATCTTGTTTTTCTTTACTGTTAATTCCATTTCATGTATAGCATGTGATTATTTCTTTCATGTTGTTTATGTATGGTTTTCATTTTTCTTCTTAAACTTATTCATTTATTTTTTAGATATAATTAAGAGAATACAAAAGAAAAATCTACGTCTTAAAACAAAATAAATAAAAACATATCACTTTTCGTGTTTTTCTCTGTAAGAAAATAAAATATCTCTCAGTGCAATTAATTATTCTGTCAAAATATAAATTTAATTAGGTGTAAAAAATTTATTTTTCACTCAAATATTCCACAGTTCAAAAAGAGATAATACTAATAATTTAAGTGGCAGTGCAATAATCAATTAGGCATTGAGCATAAGCAAGACAATACAAAAATAAGGCCAATTATGATTCAATTGAAACTATAGTTTTCCGGAGCATTATATGTACTATTCCATGATAAAGGAACACCTTGTAAAGAAGCTGGCAACGTTGGTGGTAAATTTCCACCAAGTTTTCCGTTTTTTTTCAATCGCTTCTGACGTATTAATTGTGCAACGGAAAGTCTTGGTAATCGTGCATTATTATGCGTATTTTGCGGAGTTTTAGGAGAGAAAACACTTTCTTTGAATAATACATTATCCAATGCTGTAAAATTCTAAAATAAAATATTCAATATGTTAGTCTTTATCATGGCGAAAATCTAATAAAATTCTCGTGCATATAATAGTTTGGTGAAAAACGAAAACCATGCTCGTGAGAAAAACAATAATATAAGTGTAGAATGAACATAATAAACCTCGGCACGTGTTCCACTAGTATCAACGCTTTGAAATTGTGTAAGTTCGGTTTGATGAGTACTAGGACGAAGGCTTGGTAACTAGAATTGATTTGTATTTCATATGTATTAAAGTAAAAGACGTAAAACTTAAAAAAAAAGATATGAGTGAATTGCAACTTTCTGGTACATTTTGCCTTTTAGATGTATTTGTCTAATAACTTTTTTTCCTCTCAGCCGATTTTGATAATTTTTTCATCAGCTATTGATCCTAGTATGTGCCACTGGCACACAAAATTTCAGCTCTCTAGCTCATACAGTCGCTGAGTTATAAGGAAAACATGGCAAAAAAAAATGTTAGTTTTTGCTGGCATGTGAGAAGAAAAATGAACTTTTTGAACTATAGAACAGAAAGACAAAAAATATAAAAATAGGCTAATTTGTACAGCGTTCAATGCTCTATCGAAGTATATTATGGATTTAAATTTTACACTTCATTCTCTTGTTCGTTCAGCGTTCACATTATTTGACAGACACTTTGTATTTTTGTGTAGAATGACACAAACGTGATTACAACTCGACCAGTGATAAAGCTGATGACTCAGAGATTATACGAAAGGAAAGACAACTCTTTGAGTAATAAAATGCTAAGAAAAAACTCTGTGTTGTCAGCTTTTTTTATCGATAAAAATAAGAAGATTTCCTGAAAAAAAGTCATTATACTCACTTTGTAGAATGACAATTTGAAAATTGGATGCTTCATAACTCCTCAACGAATCGTACGATTAAACTGAATTTTTTACTCAAGATGTAAAGTGGCGAGGTCTATCAGCGATAAAAATTTCAACTCTAGATCATCTTCTATTCCGGAGAAATTTACATTATACTGAGAAATGTAGAATGACAATCTCACGACTCTATATCTCCTCAACGATTAGTGCGATTGAGCTAAACTTTTTACTCAATGTGTAAAGTGGCAATGTCTATCAGTGATAAAAATTTCAGTCCTCAATCATCTTCTGTTCTGGAGAAATTTACATTATACCGAGAAATGTAGAACGACAATTTTTCACGAATACTTTCAGTACGACTCATTCAAAAATATTTGCTTCGACGTAGTTACGTGGGAAGCGATCATAGAGTATCATTTGGGAAAAAAACGATGGCCGCAAAAGCGAAAATGTTCAAGACGTTGACGGTTTTTCCGAAAAAATTTATTCAGCATAAACATAAAAAAGCGCACTATTCTCTAGCTTCCATTTTTATTCGAAAATTCGTACGTGGCACGAATAAGGAGATGATTCCAGATAGAATCGTTAACATGGTTCTCCAAAAAAATGAAAAATTGTTTTTTCCGAAATTGCCGTCCTTCCCCTCCAGGGTTTCAGGTGGATAAAAGAAAAATTTCATTTTTCGGGACAACTACATCAACCATTCCATCTATGATCATGTACTGATTTCTGCTATATATAAATTTTGAACTTTCAAAGTATGGTTGTTTTGGCATGAAATCACCCACAAATAGAAAAAGTCATACATTTATAAAAGGGCCATATCTCCGTTAATAATCGATCAAGTGTCGGGAAATTTTTTTTGTATACTACTGGCATAGATTGTAATAAAATGCACTACTCAAAAATTGTATAAGTTCACTTTCATCTGTTTGTGTGAATTGTAACAAAAAGTTGCCATTCACTCATATATACATACTTGATTCTTAGATGAAATAGTCTTTGTCGTTGTAACTGAAAACAAACATTTTGATACTGTGTAAAAATCAATTGACTAACGTACTTGGTCGTTCAGCTAAACTCGTCTGATTTGGTGTTTCACAGTCCAAACGATGAAAAGTATTCCATCCCGCCACTTTACATGCTTTTGAGCAAAAGTATACTTGTTGACATCGTTTACACAATGTAAGTCGAACACCTGTACTTCGACCACAGGTAGCACAATAATGAAATTCGTTACTTGCTCTAGAATATTTCTTTGAAATAAAAGATGAAACACATGTATTTTTACTTTGAATTAATGTCACCGGATCTTTCGGTCACGAATGATCGAGCACGAGAAACAACACGTTGTACAAACATATTACTGCTTGGTGTTTCACGTGAACCTTATTTAGATTTCGAGAAAAGAAAATTTGAAGAAACAAAACTCATTGAATGCTCTTCATACCGGGTATTGGTGTTGGTAAACGTAAAAAATCTTCAAGTTTTGTTACTTCTTCTCGAAAGCGTTTCGCTATGTGAACAAGTAACTCTTTTCTTTCCTTGTAAATGATACGTTCTTGAGGTAATAATGAATGATATGGAGTTTGTGATATTTTAGCATCCTAAGAATAAAAAAAAGAAAATATTATTCTATAAGAAATCATTGACAGTATTGTTTACAGCAAAGAAAGAATAATAAGCATAGTCAACCGATGATCCTAATGTATTTTTTGGACCAAATCGAACAGGGTAAAGAACTTGAGGATTTTTTGCAATGAAATGTTCGATCTAAAACACAAATGAAAATTGAATTCATGCAAATTATTTCATATTTTCTCTATGTACTAATTGTAATCGTTTAGCGTATGTCCATCGAGATTCATAATTTGTTGATAAGACAGTACATAATGCATTTCCATTTCCTAATCCGAGAAAAGTCGATGGATCTGTTGTGTCATGCTCAATAAGTAAATCAACTAAAGGTTCATTTCCAAGAATGATAGCAAGTGAAAGTGGTGTCTGACCATTACATACAGCATTTGGATCAGCATGATGTTCGAGAAGTAGACGAACTAGAGACAATGTATCATCCGTGGCTTCACGAGTACATGCTATATGTAAAGGAGTACGACCATGTAAAGTAGCTCTATTCTAAAAAACAATTTTTTTTTATAACAGATGTTTATTATTTTTGTATTGAAGCATAAAATCTATTTACTAGCTTATTTGCATCGACAGCTAATGGTTCAGCAAGTGACAAATATTCTTGACCACCGGGTGATGATTCTGCATTGACGTGTGCTCCGTGCTGTAATAATTGTCGAGCAATATCAATTGCATTCGATGACAAACATCCACAAGCAATATGTAATGGAGTTAAATAAGAAAGACGAGTTGCACTTAATCGACAATTAACTTGAGCTTTTTTCTTTAATAATAATCCAACCATTTCTTTATCACCAGCTCGAACAGCTAGTGCAAGAACTGGCAATGGCCAATCGCTTAGACAAGGATCAGCACCACGACGAAGTAAAAGTCTGACACAAAAAAGGACTCATTGATAAAACTCTTCTCATATAAATTTTGCATGCTTAACAATATATTGTATATGTATACAGATTTGTTTTTCACTTACATCTTAGCTAAATTATGTACACTCAGAAAGTTTTGATCCTACTAAACTCGCACAATTATGATTTACAATAATGCATACATACTTGATGAGAGAATGGAGCAATTGCCGCAAATGTTCATCTTCGATTCGTTCACGAAGCTCACTAGAAAGCTCGTATCCATAAGGATCTATTGAAACTCTATTTAAATAGTTATCAAATGAATTTATGTAGATTCTTACTTTTATTTTCGATTTCATTTATTTTAATCGATTCAGATGAAGATACGACTTTGTCTTCAGTGATGGTACTTGCTCGACTTAATAAATTTCTTGAAGTATTCATTGTTGCTCTACTCTGTTGTATTGTTCTATCTTTTGGACTTGATCGTCTTGCTTCAAGTACAGATACTGTTTTCAGTGCCATTAGAACAGGATCTAAATGTTCTAAAGCTGTATTCATTGTTGTTTGTGGATCATTTCCATAGTAAAGCAGAAAAGCAATGGCGAGTGATGTTAATCCATCATCTGATAATTGATTAACATTAGCACCAAAATCAAGAAGTAGATTTACAACATTAATTTGAACATTATAGATAGCAAGATGTAAAGCAGTTAAACCACGAGAATCACAAACATCAACATAGACTTGATGGTGCATAAGAAGGTCACGTACAGTTTTAGTTTCACCATGAAATGCTGATTCGAATAGAAACATTGAGGAATTCTCCAATGGACCAGGATTTGGAAAACAAGAACGAGTATCTAAATAAAAAATAGAATTCAATTTCTATTAAAATATAATTTTTTGTTTTCCACTTGATAAAATTTCATCGATTGGAAATGTTGCTCGTTGTTTTAAGGGCCAAAATTTATTAATATAATAATACAATTGTTTTTGTTCAAATGTTTCATTGGGTGGTATGATATCGGCGATGTGTTCCGTTAAAATTTTCTCTTTTAATATATCATCATTATTTAGACTTGCTAGATAAGCATCAAGTTGTGCACGTTTTTCATGTATAGCTTCTTCAACTTGATCAGAACGATCAATTAAATAATATTTTAAAGAAATATTTTCTTCTTCGATACTTTTGCAAAATAAAGCATTTGATTTCTTTTTTAAAATAGAATCAAGATCAACGGTTGTTGCAAGTAATTCTTGAGGTGAATACCATGAAGGTATAGTAAATGAAGATTTATTTGTACATTTTTTATCAGTTATACAAATATCAAAATTAAGATTAGGATGTCTTTGAAGAATACGTACAAGATCTTCACTGAGCCAAAAACCTACATCAGCATTTGTCATGGATTTATAGATTAAAATACCTGGACCAAACCGTTCATCTTGACGATAAAGACCCTATACAAAAAGAAAAGGGTTCTCTATTTTTTCTTAATAATAAAAACTAGTTTAACCTTAAATTCAGAAAGATCTGAAGTTTCAAAAGTACCAAAACCATGTCGTTTATCAGCAAAAAAGGCGCCATTATACATTCGACCATCAGACCAAGATAAAATACCGATACCATGCTTTTTATCGTCATATAAATCACCTTTATATTTCTTCAAAAATTCAAAAAAAAATATTCTAATTTGTTTGTCTATTTACTGAATCAAATAACCTACACATGAATCTTCGATGACTGTGCTTTTTGCATATGTTTTTATTCCATTTGGTGATGGTATATCTCGGCCAACGCCAATCGATACAGAAGTGATTTTAGCTTTATTTTCATCGACTAGTTTACCAACATCTAAAAGAAAACAATAATTTATTGTATACTTTTCTGCCGTTCATCAAGTTTTTACTATTCTTGCTTGCGCTGGTTGTAGGTTTTTTATCAGATTTATCCTCATCAATGTCTTTTGATTGTTCTTGATTTTTACCGTTGATCAATGTGGACATTTTTCTTTTGTAGCCCAACACTTTTAACGTTAAGCACCAACGAAGCAAAAAAATAAACTGAAATGAGAAATACAAAAAAAACAAATAATAAATTCTTGCAGTTTTATTAACAATGTAGCACTTTAGATAAGTGCACCACGTGTTTCGAAAAAATACGGTAGCCATTTACACCTTGCAGTACACAGGAAATTTTGTGTTAACTATCGTTTTATTCAAAATTTTATTCAAAAGACGGCTTCAACAGATGCCGCAAATCGATTGAATTATTGATTTTATTCGCGATGATAGTATTGATAAAAATTCTTTTCTAGTTCTTCTACATCAAGAAAATTCATATTCAAGAAGATTTTTTCTAAAATAACTTCGGTTATATTTACTATTGCATATGCATTTCGTTTATTTAGATTTCTCTATTGCACATCAATGGTGAATTTTATCACTTGTTGGCTGTTGTTCGCATATATGACGACGAAATATTTTTTGTGAAAAGTGTATTTAAATTTCAATAACTAAATTTCAATGCACAATAGAACATAATTGATAATATATACTATTGAAACAATACTAAAATCTTTCGAACAGGATCATGATTCTTTTAAGAATACGAATTTTCAAACATTCTAAAGTGATTAACAGTAGAGCGCACATCAACCTTAGAATGAACCAAAACACTTTTCCGTAAAAATATTTCAGTGACGTTTCATTAAAGTAATACGTATAAATAGAATATCAAGAAAATTGTTCACTCGTTGTGATTGTTGTTCTCCCAATATTTTATTAGAATTTCGAGTTATTGCCTAATAGATGTTTTGCAAAGATATTGGTAATGAAAGAACAACAGAGCAAATAACTTGAATAAGAAGTATAACAATAAATTGTTTTGAAATTTTCTTCTTTCAATCACATATTGCGCTATCTATACGAGCTATTCGTTGTTTAGTGTATTGTATATTTCGAATAATTAGTGAATAAACCAAATATCACATATCAGCATGAGAAAACAAGGAAAAGGCGAATAAGTCAACAAAGGAGCAAAACGATTATAAAGTTCACATATATCGGATATAGTAAAATAATTTGATGCTGTTGATTCATAAGAGCCAACCAAACAGAAAAACATCTGCTCATAAACAAGATTTACAATTTAGAAATTACCGAGAATAACTCGTTTGGCTGTTCTAATACTAGTCTTATTCATACATTGATACAATTCGATGTCCATCAATAAATACAAGCTCTGATGATAAATCAAATTAATAACAATAAACTACCATAGGTAAAATATCAGCGAACTTAACAATAAATAGCTGATTCCAGTAATGCTCGAGGATTGATATTAAACGTAGTCAAGACACGTATTAAACATTCCATATAGACTGCTATCATATTGTTGCATATCGATGCAACAAAATACCATGGACAAGATATTGAATCTAGTTTGGGGCGTGTAAATAGGCAAATATTAAATATACTGCTGAATGTCCCGAACATAAGTAAAGCTATACAAAAATGCCGAATCAAATGAAATTTTATCAATTTTGATGTATCTATCGGAGACATCGATGATGTACACTTGGATAATCTAAAAGTGTAGTAGCTATTTACTTTTAAAAAATCTCGAATATTTCTTGTTTTCTAGGACTTAAAAAGAATGAAAGAAAAAAAAACGGCAATCTTATTTAGAATCTAGAAGTCTGGTTTTAAATCCTTCTCATCTTCAAGTATGTTCACACATTCATGCATATTTTGGATATTTATTGAAGAAAATCATTAAGAATAATGCTGCAAAAAACACATTTTTATCCTAAATATACTGATGTTTTTTTTAATTATTGAGTTCTCGATCATTTTGTAGTGACACACGGAGCTATATTGTTACAAATTCATTGCGAATATTACTTTTCTGTTTTTCACCATATTACTATATTAAAAATAAATGCGGAAACATCGAATTCGCATCAAATTGTTATCTGTACTGCAAAACTGAGTTGATTTATACACGTTGTGAATAATTCTGAGAAAAAGTTTTTTTTTGAAAAATCCCTGTAGCCCCCCTGAGGGATCGTCTGGTCAATGATGACAATTTTTTCGATAACTCAGCCATTTCTTGACGGATCCTTCTCATCTTCGAACTCGACTGAGATATTGATGAGATCATTCTGTGTACAAAATTTCATGACAATTGGATGAGGCTTTCAAGAGTTATCGTGTTAACGGGCGGACACACTGGCCGAATCTAGTGTACTCACTTTTTGAGTACACAAAAAAATAATACTAGAGATAATAAAATAAAGTCAAAATTCATATTGTTTAAGTTCTATCTATAACAAACTATTAATACTTAAATCAGTTTATCACTTACAAAGTGACAATAATGGACTAATCTACACGTTATATATATATATATGTTTAAACTAGACATGATTTCGTTGTGATAGCTCGAATATTGTTCCACAATGACAATTATTCCTGTAACTTATACTCAAACAACGTTAACAACTACAGATAAAGTCTGCAGATGTCTGACAATTTTGTTTAGTATATCTCTAATTAACGCTTGATTTTTAATATGTAGTTCTTTTAATGATATTCATGAATTTATCGATAACATTTCGGAATATATACATAAATGTGTTGTATTTGGCTCAGTTTCAAGTTTTTGACACGCTCGACTTTGGAAGATACATAGTAGGTCTTCATCGTTTTTGAGTAGTGGACTTTTTTAATTCTATACTGGTATTATGTAGCTCAAGTTTCACACCATTTTATTGGTTATTAAGGTAAATACACGACGTTAAGAACGAACTTCGTCGAATTCAAAACTCTACAATTTTTAGCATACTGTGAATTTCACTGAAATGATACAAGACTAAGAGCTGATATTCTCGCCATTTACACTACGTTTTACTTTGTATTTACCTTAAAGATTTTGGTCAAATCATTTATCCTTCCTCTACAAACAAGTTGATAAAAGACTCCTTTTTTATATATTTGAAGCTACAAGAGTCTTCTTTCTTCTCGTTTGATCTCAGCATCACTGGTTCTATGGTGGACGAAGTTCATTTATGAGAATAGATCTCTCTATACAAAAAAGAACTCTAGTGTCTGTCAAATAGTGTGGCGTTTGAACAAGGGGTTAAGAAAGGATTGAAATTCAAATAAGTCACATATGTTGATAGATCATCAAACGCTGCATAAACTGAAGTATTTACATATTTTTTCTCGCATATTATTATAACTAGAATATGTTCTTGTCATCGGAGAAGGCACCAAAAAATGACATTCTCTTAAAATATATTCCGTACAATTGATTATCAATCAATCTGCTCATCATTGTTGTTTTTTATTTTGTGTAGGAACTGATGATGACTTACTGTATTTACTATTTCTGTTAGATAAAATAATATTTATATTGCTTCATGTGATTGCTCTTGATCACAATTGATTTCTATTGATATTTCGCATTTTTATACTTTTTTTCTCTCAAAAGCTTTAATGACATATGTCATAATACAGAATTGTAGCTGAGAATGGATATGATTTTGAGCTATGATACTTTTTTCAGTGAACATAAGAAATACTGTCTTCAAATCTAACTTAGATTCTGCCATCCAATCATGCATTCAATTTGACTGCAGATGGATTTCTCTATTGAATTTAAATGCTATTGTTTGTATTTTATGTTCGTGGTTTTATTATTCTTAGTAGGTCAAGTGAAATCAAATTCTGCCCTAAGTATTAAATAATTTTTATACGGTGTGAAATCATTAAAAATCAATAAAAATGTTACGAAATTAATTTTGTTTGCTTTAAATTATCAGGTTTCATAGTTGTGGACTAAATCATTGACTATAGCCGACGAATTCAAATAGTAACGTTTTGTACTGCTAGATGATACAAACAACTAAGATTATTATGTTTTTTCTTCATTAAAAAGTACCTACTAATATGTCTGTGACCACTCGTGATATTGAAGTACATCAATGTGTGAGATTGGAATTCATATCGATAATAACAGCTACCACTAATACTACGGTTTCGATATATCTGTTACAATATCTATAACTAATTTTCACAAGCAATACTAGTAGTTATAATTCGACTGTGCAAAAGTCAGTAGAATCAAATTCATCGAGTACTGGGACAACAATACTGACGACTTCAATTTTGCCAGCGTCTACTGTTTTATCAAATATTTCAGAAATTAGTACGTATGTTACCTCCTATGTTTATGGTCAGTACATGTTAATAAATGTATACACTAAGATTTTCAAAGTTGCCTGTATATATATTTTTTATTAAAATGAAAAAGTATGTTCGATCAATATTGAGTGATAACTATTAATTGATTTAAGAATGAAACATTTTATTTATTAAATTTTTTTCATTCAACTTCCAAATAAAAATCAAATTATAATTTTTCTTGAAGTTTTTTAAAATCATTTTCCTCTTGTTTTAGTTGCTGATGATCAGGTTCATATGCCATCCGTACTATGTTAACAGCATGCATTTGGTATTTAACAGCTTCTTGATAACGATTTAGTCGCTCAAGTACTTCAGACATATTATGGTACACCACAACTAATGTTGGATGGTTTGATGGAAGTGATTTTTCTTCAATGTTTAGTGTTTTCTCATAGAAGTAGAGTGCTTTTAAATGACCATTTGTTGTTTCATGCACTAGACCAATACTGTTATAAGTAGTGACTAATAGTGGATGAACAGGTGGTAGATGTTTCTGTCGGGCGTTAAGCGCTTCTTGATGACTTGTGAGTGAATTTTTAAATTCTTTAAATTCGTAAAATATCTCACTCATGTAACTGTGTATGGTTGCGATCTTCAATAAATCGGGATTTGGATTTTGAAGAGTAATGCTAAGAGAATGCTGAAAATGGTCTGATGCTTTGTCAAAGTCATATTGAGTCATAAGAACCGAACCAATACCAGTGGTATGTCAATGAAAGACTTGGGTCATCTCTAGGAACATCTCCTAATTGAATACTAAGCGTTTCTTTATAATGAAAAAGAGCTGCTTCAAGATCACCTTTCTCATCATGAATACGTCCTAGTTTATGATGAAGATGAGTAAGTTCTTTCAAATCATTATCAGGTGTCATTTCAAATGCTGAAACATAAAATTCTTCAGCCTTATCAAATTGACCCATAGCAGTCATTAATGAACCTAATCTATGCCAACCAGTTGCTCCACTTGTTCCATTACGCATATGATGAGTAAGATCTTTTAGTTGTTGGTCACTATCATCTGTTAATATTAAATTCACTTTCCATATGCCATCAGATGTATTTCTCATTTCTTGAATTCAAAAGACTGTATGCATTGAAAATAGAACTTCCTTTTCAGTTTCTGAATAGTAACTATAATTACTAACAGAAGCGAACGAGGTTGATGAAATCAATGGATTGCTTTCCATTTGAAAGAGAATCAGTGTTATGTTTGAATCATTTTATGAACGACGAGCAAACTGTAATGAAACTTGTCGATCAGTACTTGCTGATAGGAAACTATTAAATGATAAGAGGTCACCTTGACATCTTACTTATTTTTCCAATTCACTATTCAGCATACCCTGGCCACGATAAACAGTCAATACACCTTGATATTTTATTTTAGCATGTAATTCCTGTATTTGTTGATCAAGATCTCGAATAAAAAATCCCACTCTTGTTATTATTTCAATGTCTTGAGTACGAAGTGCCTTATTCAACATAGTATTAGTGAAACATTCTCTTGTATACCACCATTTAGCAGATGAAGGAGAATATTTTCTCTTAAATTCATCTATAATCTTCAATTCCTGTGAATTATCTCCATATTGATCATAACAGAAGTCACCCAGTTTCGTTTTAGCATGATTATCATGTTCGATTTCTACAAGAATTTCTTTCAGTAATTTTGAATACATAAAAGATGGATCTAAAGTGTTTAAATCGCGTGTTGGAGAATCATTTTTGAATAAAATACTGATTGACATTAAATTATTATCACATTGCTTTATATCATCATTTAATAATGTACAAAGTGACTCAATATCAGTAAAAATATCTTTTATCTTTTGATGTTTGCTAGCCCACAGTTCATGTTTTGATTTATTACACCAAAACACAAATTGAATCAAGGAAAGATATACTTTCAACGATAGGTACTATTTTTTCTCCAAGAGAACCTGATAAAATCATGAATATTTTTTCATATTTGATCTGCTTGAGAAATTCAATGAACGGATGCATTTCTGTGAATGTATTAACACAATTAACAACACGTCGAAGTTTTTTAATCGATTTAAGATAGTCTGCATCAGTTGAATTAATGTTTGAATCTAACCAAACAACGATAAAATTTTCGGCTACTCCAGGGACACATTTTCTTGCCTGAAGAATCTTCGCTTTGATTTTTCCTTTTTTCGATGCTTTCTTCAGAACTTTCTTTTGCATTCTTTCTTCCCGTGATATCAGGAAGATTTAGATGTTCCACTAGCTAATAGTTTATACGACGTATTGCTAGTGCTTTTGGAATACTTTGGTGGCATAAAAATCAATTTTTATTTTCGTACCGATTGTTTTATTTTAATGTAACTTTCTCATTCGTTGTTTCACTATGTGCATAATTATTAATAGTATTGCGAGGAAACAGAACAGTGCCTTTTATTTTCTTTTACTTCGGTGCAGATCAGAAAAAGCAATTTTGCGCCAGAAATTCAAGTATTAAAATCAATTTTTACGATTTGAGAATGAAAAAAAATTTCTTTTTGCCTTCGCAATAAATTTGAGCAAGCAATAGAATGAACTGTATGTTGTTTCTTTGGTAACTATAAAATCAAATAGGAAAAAAGGGGATTGACAATCAATTGAAACTGGATAATATTGGAAAAAGACAAAGAGTATTAATAAAAATCATTTTTATTTTACTCTAGTTCAGATGAAATTATCCTCTAGAATAACTTATGCAAGGGCATATTTAAATAGAAAATATGCCATTGAATAAAATTTCGATCAGACATAGTATCATTATTAATTGTTGGTTTACTTGTTTATTGCATTGCTAACAATAATAGATACACAAAACGAATTTTATCTAGCAACATCAAAATTTATGATCATATTAATTTTAAGCCCGCAATCAATTAAAATTGTCATTAAAGGATGTACATATTGATGAGACAAAGATAGAACCTATGGATAACAATGAATAATTGGGATGCCGAAAAAACCAAGAAAAATAGGTGAAATTATAAAATATTGAGTAAATAAATACATAACTAAAAAATAATAAATCAATGAATAAAAACAAAATTTGACGAAATAGATGGTACTGTAAAATACAAAAAACTTATTGTATAAGTGCAATAACTAAAATTTTTGCACTATCATTTTCGTTTATCTGTCTAAGTTTAATAAAGCAAATATAATGTCTTCATAAATAGGATCTCTAACAAACGAAGTGCCTTCAATGTTTTCCTCAAATAGTATCTCTCCACAAACCTATATAATGCAGATATTGTTCGCGTTGCTTAAGAAACTTCATACTATTAAAGATCGAAGTTACGATTAAGAAGTACATTTTTGTGATTTCACATATTGAGAGACGATTCGAATCACCAGAAAAAATGTTTGCAGCTTCATATTCGAAAAAAGATAAGAGATTGAGAGTAAAGTCGAGTTTTTTCTATCGATTTTTAGTCTCATCCTCACCATCAGATCGCTATAATTAGACATTCATCGATCCCAGGTCTACTCTGGTCAAACTCTTGGATTTAACGCATTTCTACTCATAACCACTAAATTTATCCGCCCAACATCGTTATGATTTATAAGAATGTCAAAACAAAATTTAAATGAATTGTTTATTTTGAAGCAGATTTTGATGTTAACAATAAAGCATCGAGTAAACAAAACTATTTAGAGCATTTTCGGACAGAAAAATTATCGATATTTATGTAGAATATTTTGTTGTATCATTCGTTCATAATCTTGCTCGCGTAATCCGAGTAAAATATTGATAGAACCATCTTTCATATGTGTGTCCATCATTGGAAAATATCTCGGATAGAGTTGTTGAGTTGGTCCACTATAGACAGGAAATCCTGAATTACCAAAATTAGCACCTAACAAATTTACTTTTCGCCATGATGCACAATGAAAATCACGGTTAATTATATCGGCGTCTACTCGATTTTTTTCTATATTTCCATTGTCACTCATTAGATAAGCATTATAGTCTCGTATGGAATGATCGGACTGTTTGGAATACATTTCATGTATTAGTTGTGCTAACGACGAAAGAGTTGGCTCTCGGTCTGACGGTATTTTAGCGTAGAGCCAAAATGGAAATGAACCAAAATAGTTAAGAACAGCTGATGAACAAGAAGAAACGAAACACGGTCGACCGTTCAATGACTGTAGAACTTTGATATTATCTTTCAATGAAGTTTGAGTGGCTGCAGCGATAACTAGAATCATATGAGCATAAAGAGCATCGTAGGTACTGATATAATCAATTGATTCTAATAGCCCTTTTGATGTTTCGTTTTTAAGATTTTTCAGCTCGTTGGCAGAGAAAAAATAAACTTTGCAAATAACGCGCTGTTGTTGTTGTGCTTCAACGAATGCTGAACTATGTGATGGATTGAAGTCACGATTGAAAACACAGTCCTTTGGTCGAGTCAACGAATTTATTCGTTGTTGTTGCTCTGTAGGATACAAGATGAATGTTTTGTCGAACATTGGGAGCTCTTTAGGTGGCTTATTAGAAGCCCATGTATTGATGAAATGCGACATGCTTTGTGCGTCCATTAAACAATGAAAAGCTGATATACTTAAAATAACACTATTACATTTCAGACGTGTTACTTGTATCGATGTACAAGGCCCTGTCCAATCGTTGTTTACTTTTAGTGCTAAATCACTTGTATTAATATGCTCATAATCGAATTCTTCGTCATGTGGCATTCTTGATATAAAATAGTCTAAAGCATGATTTGGGCATGTTGCTTCAGTAAAAAGAACACCTTCATTTGACAAATGAATAGTAACATTTCCTTTTGTATCTTCCGTGGCACGGCCAGCTAATATAGGAAAATAATTGAGAGTATGCGATAGAGTCGTTTTTAATTGATCCGATGGCAAAAAATCTTCTTTTGACAAATTTTCAGAATTTGAATAGACCCAAATCATGTTGATTGGAAATTGTTTTGTATTTGATTCAACTGGCATACATGTTATGCAGTCATCAGTTTTCGTTGGATTTGAACATTTGATGGTGATCGTATTCTGTTTAATGATATCAGCCATAGTTCACGTATATATCTGTAAAAGAGAGGATCAACGTCTTTTGATATTAATTCTGTAGTAGTGTGTCATAATTCTATTTTGTCCGTATAAAAGAACAGAAAAGGGACTTATATTTGCTTTATGTGAGAGAAAAAGATAAATGGCAGTTGTGGTTTGATATTATGAGTAAGAGAAAAGCAGCTTAGTATAGATGACAACTATTTTTTTTCAATTCTGTTCGATTCATTGTTGCATACAGAAGGGATTATAAAGAAGAATTGATACGGGGTTTAAGACTGTATGCGTTAGCATATAGTATGCTTGCGATTTAAGCATAGATGCAGTAGCTATATTCGAAACAAATAGAAAACATATAGGATCTCGAAAGAAAAAAAAATGTAAAAACAAATGAGGCTGAGTGATACTAGCCAATGAGAATAGCTAAAATACACATCGGTAACAATACCACAGATCATTTAAAAGATGAGGGCGACATCTGCCATATATCAATGATTGATGAAATTAAAAAGCTTATTGTTGAGGGGTGCTAGGTGAATTCGTCTCCGGAAATTTCTTCGTCAGATAATTCGTCCCATGGACAATTCTTTGGATGGACAATTTATTATCAGACTATTCGTCGTGAATGTACCGTAATTGATTATAACTGTATCCAGAGCCCACTGGAAGGACCTAATATTGGGGGGGGGGGGCGGGGTGTAACGG